TCACGCCCGGTCCTTCTCCAGACCTTCCTGGATGAGAACGGCTCCCTCAACTGGGAGATCTACTACTGGATCGGGCAGGAGGCCACGCTGGACAAGAAGGCCTGCTCCGCCATCCACGCCGTCAACCTCCGCAACTACCTGGGGGCCGAGTGCCGCAGCATCCGGGAGGAGATGGGGGACGAGAGCGACGAGTTCCTCCAGGTGAGGCCAACCCCTGGGCCCCCCCATGCCCCCAGAACTGCTTCTCCCACCCTCACCCCCCCCCCCCCCCTTCCTGCCCCCAGGTCTTTGACAACGACATCTCCTACATCGAGGGGGGCACAGCCAGCGGCTTCTTTACTGTCGAGGACACGCAATATGTCACCAGGTACGGCTGGGGCCAGGGGCTGGGAGGGGATATGTGGGGCAGGCAGTGCCTGTGCCCCACCGTGTCTGTCTGTCCGTCCCCCCAGGCTGTACCGTGTCTATGGGAAGAAGAATGTCAAGCTGGAGCCGGTGGCACTGAAAGGGACATCACTGGACCCCCGGTGAGCAGGAGGAGGAGCCAGGGGACACAGCGACAGGGTGCTGGCAGGGTCCACAGCGTAACCGCAGCTCTGGGGTGAAAATCAGCCTTACCGGGCACAAGGATGTGGGTCCAAACCTGCCAGGACCCCCGGGGTGGGGAGGACGCTCGGCGCGCCCCGCTCTCTCGTGACTGTCCTTCCGTCTCGGTATCCGCCAGGTTCGTCTTCCTCCTGGACCACGGCCTCGAGCTCTTCGTGTGGCGCGGGAGCCAGGCCACGCTGAGCGGCACCACCAAGGCCAGGTAGGGCTGGTTTTGGGGGAGAGGGGGGGGGGGGGGGGGGTTGCAGGGAGCCCACCTGCCATCTCACCCGCTCCCACCCCAGGCTCTTCGCCGAGAAGATCAACAAGAACGAGCGGAAGGGCAAGGCGGAGATCACGCTGCTCGCCCAGGGCCAGGAGACCCCCGACTTCTGGGAGGCGCTGGGGGGGCAGCCCGAGGAGATCCGGCCCTGCGTCCCCGACGATTTCCAGCCTCACAAGCCCAAGCTGTACAAGGTGGGGAGCTGCAGGCCACGGGGCCGTTGGTGCTCTGCAGCCCCCCCTCACCCCTGTCCCCGTCCCCTCGGCAGGTCGGCTTGGGCCTGGGCTACCTGGAGCTGCCCCAGATCAACTACAAGCTCTCGGTGGAGCACAAGAAGAGGCTGAAGGCTGATCTGATGCCGGAGATGCGCCTGGTAGGATGGGGCAGGGAGGTTCTCCCGGTCTGACCAGCGAGACTGGTTTTGAGCCCCTTGTGCCTCCGGCTGTGCCCTGGGAGAGGCAGGTTTGGCCAGCGGGGGCCGGGGCGGGGGGGATGCTCCGCTCTTCCCCCGCTGTCCTCGGGGAGCAGGCAGGGTGTTTTCCAGCCCCCGGGGTGCCTGAGCCCCCTTTTTTTTTTCCCCTGCGGTGCCCTCAGCTGCAGAGCCTGCTGGACACCAAGAGCGTGTACATCCTCGACTGCTGGTCCGACGTCTTCATCTGGATCGGGAGGAAGTCGCCGCGGCTGGTGCGGGCGGCGGCGCTGAAGCTGAGCCAGGAGCTGTGCGGGATGCTGCACCGGCCCAAGCACGCCCTGGTCACCAGGAACCTGGAGGGCACCGAGTGCCAGGTAGGGGTAGGGCGGCTCGCTCGGACCCCGGGGAGGGAGACGGGGCCGCAGACCCCTCGGAGGGGGGCGCTGAGCGCCAGGGAGGGTGCTGTGGCCCAGGGTGCGTCACCTTAACTCTCCGCTTTAGGTGTTCAAGTCCAAGTTCAAGAACTGGGACGACGTCCTGCGCGTGGATTACACCCGCAACGCCGAGACGGTGCTGCAGGAGGGCGGCCTCACCGGCAAGGTCCGCAAGGATGCCGAGAAGAAGGACCAGATGAAGGCCGACCTCACGGCGCTCTTCCTGCCCCGCCAGCCCCCCATGCCCCTCAGCGAGGTAGGGCTGGGGACTGTCCCCTGTGTGTGTGTGTGTCCCCAGCAGCGCCGGGCCGGGTGCTGGTGGAGGGGCTGGGGTTGGCCGCGAGCTGACGGAGCGCGTGGGGCCGCAGGCGGAGCAGCTGATGGAGGAGTGGAACGAGGACCTGGACGGCATGGAGGGCTTCGTGCTGGAGGGCAAGAAATTCGCTCGCCTGCCCGAGGAGGAATTCGGCCACTTCCACACCCACGACTGTTACGTCTTCCTCTGCAGGTGACACCCAGCTCATCCCCTCTCCAGGGTGACTGGACCACCTCATCTCCCCAGCTTACACCACCCCTCACATTACCCCCTCTTCCTGCCCTCAGGTACTGGGTGCCAGTGGAGTACGAAGAGGAGGAGGAGAAGAAGAAGAAGGGTGAAGGCAAAGGGGAGGAGGCGGGTGAGGAAGAGGAGGAGGAGAAGCAGCCTGAGGAAGACTTCCAGTGCATCGTCTACTTCTGGCAGGGCCGGGAGGCCTCCAACATGGGCTGGCTCACCTTCACCTTCAGCCTCCAGAAGAAATTCGAGAGTCTCTTCCCCGGCAAACTGGAGGTGACCCTACTGCGCGCTCCTGGGGGGGTGACACAGGGGTCCCCCAGCTTTGCCTCACCTCTCCCCCTCTCCTGTCTGCCCCCCAGGAGACTGACAGGGCATAGCAGCAGAGGTGGGGGCTGGCAGGAGGGGGTGCAGCTGGGGCTTGGGGTTGTGTTTGGGGGCGGGGAGGGCTCCCTGCTGACACCCACCCCTGGCCAGGTCGTGCGCATGACCCAGCAGCAGGAGAACCCCAAGTTCCTCTCGCACTTCAAGAGGAGGTTTGTCATCCACCGAGGCAAGCGGAAGGACAAGGCCAGCCCACCCCAGCCCAGCCTCTACCACATCCGCACCAACGGCGGGGCCCTCTGCACCAGGTCAGCCCTCCCGGGGGGTGCTCCGCGGCCAGGCAGCACCCATGGGTGCTGGGGTACGTGCCAGGGGGCCTGATCTCTTGCTGACTGTGCCTCGGCGGCTTCTTTTCTAGGTGCATCCAGATCAACACAGACGCTGGTCTGCTCAACTCGGAGTTTTGCTTCATCCTCAAGGTACTGCGCCCGGCTGAGCATCCTCAGGGATGCTCGGCCACTCGCCCTCCACCCAACTTGGGGAGCCCTGACTCTCTGCCCTCCCCCAGGTGCCCTTTGAGAGCACGGACAACCAGGGCATCGTCTACACCTGGGTGGGCCGAGCAGCCGACCCCGACGAGGCCAAGCTGGCCGAGGACATCATGAACCACATGTTTGACGATTCCTACAGCAAGCAGGTGAGCGGGGTGGGGGGCACGACGGGGCTCAGCCCCCGCTTACCTGGGTGGCAGCGACCACCGGCGGCGGGGGACGGCCATGCTCAGCCCTGTCCCTGCCCTCGCAGGTCATCAACGAGGGAGAAGAGCCTGAAAACTTCTTCTGGGTGGGCATTGGGAGCCAGAAGCCCTACGATGAAGACGCTGACTACATGAAGCACTCCCGGCTCTTCAGGTGGGTCTCGCCTTCCCCCGGGGGGGGGGGGGGCTGCTGCAGTCTGTGCTGGTCCCCTTCCTCCTGCGGTGCTCTGGGCCGTGCTGGGCTTCACCGGGGGCTTGGTCCACCCGAAGTAGCCAGGGCACAGCTCCCAGTGACAGGCAAAATCCCTCTCACAACTGCATCCATCCTCCTGGGCATCAACCGGCTGCGAGAGAGCTGCTCCATCACGTCCCTGCCTTCTGCACGAGCCGAGTCCTGACAAACTCGTGGCTTTGATGCGGTCCCCCCTTGCTCTCCCCACAGGTGCTCCAATGAGAAAGGTTATTTCTCCGTGTCGGAGAAATGCTCGGATTTCTGCCAGGATGACTTAGCGGATGACGACATCATGCTGCTGGACAACGGGCGGGAGGTGAGCCGCGGGTCCTTGAGGCTCATCCTGCACCCCGGGGGCAGCGGGGCCGGATCGGCCCCCGGCTCCAGCACCACGTCCTTCCCCCAGGTCTACATGTGGGTGGGCACCCAGACCAGCCAAGTGGAGATCAAGCTGAGCCTCAAGGCGTGCCAGGTAGGGCCTCCCCCCTGCTTCTTGCTGCAGGGAGTGAGGGAGAATTTGGGTTTCATCTCCCCTTGGGGGCACTGATCCTGCCCCGAGCAGGTGGTGCGGAGCTGCCCGCAGCCCCCCAGGCTGGGGAACAGCAGCCCCCCAGGGGTGAGGGAGGGGCTGGGGACCCCCACGGCTGTGCTCTGCCCCAGGTCTACATCCAGCACATGCGTTCCAAGGACCCCACGCGTCCCCGCAAGCTCCGGCTGGTGCGGAAAGGCAACGAGCCCTGGCCCTTCACCCGCTGCTTCCACGCCTGGAGCGTCTTCCGCAAGCCGCCTGCCTAAGGGGGCTGGGGGGGGGGGCCCCCCCTAGGGCATGGCCGGACCCCTCCGCTGTGCTACCGCACTCCTGCTCCCTGCTAAGCTTAACTGGGAGCCGCTTCTCCCCGAGCTGGGGCCAGTGGGGAGCACTGGGGCTGACCCCCTGGCCCCGTTTCTCCCAGCACAGGGCCCATCTCTTCCTGGAGGGGGGGGGGGGGGGGGCGAGATATGGGGCAGTGTGGGCCCCTGTTACACCCTTCTCGGGGATCCTGCTACCCCAAGACAGTGTCGAGCTCCCCCTGCAACTGGGGGCCCAGGAGCGTTTCCCAGTTTGGGTGGGGAGGATGCTTTGCTAAAGAGAACTGGGGGTGGGGGTCGGGGAGCAAGGGGGGGGGGGGCTCGCACAGCCCTAGGCCTTACAGGTGGTCCCGCTGTCCCTGGGGGGCCAGCCCACCAATATCATATCAATAAAAGCTGCACTTCTCACCCCGAGGCCGTGCCAGGCTCTGACTGTGCCCCTCTCCCTCCCAAGTGGGGTCCCCCCCCACCCTGATCCTGCCCCTGAGCAGCTTGGGGTGGGGGTGGTCCTGGCACCTACCAAGCTCTAAGCCGACTGCCAAGACTCCCTAAACAGCAGGAGCCTGGGCAATTGATATTAAATGCTTTATTTTTCAATATTAAAAACCAGTATTTTTAATAACTAAACAATGCTAAATTCATCTTACCAAAAAAATGGATGAGGTGGGGAGGGGGGGGTTCTACCAGGGACACTACAGCCCCGGCCTCGGCAGGCAGCAACGGAGCCCAGGGCAATGCTGCCTCACCCAGCCCCCCCCCCCCAGCCCCACACGTACCGCAAGAGAGCCCTGGGGGGGCCCAAAACGGCCCCGGATCCCCAAAAAGAGAGGGGGGGCAGGTGCCAGGCTGAGCCCTGAAGCCACGGAGGGACAGCCACCATGAGCCAGGGGACAGAGCCAGCGTCATCGCAGCCCCCCCTGCGAGGACGAGGCCAGGCTGGGGAGCTCGGTGAGGGGTGGGAGGATTTGGCACAGTGAGAACCCCCCCGGGGTGGGGCAGGAAGGGGCTGGGGCAGCCCTGTGCCCAATCTGTGCACACACACACCCCCCCCCCCCCCCACCCCAGCACGGACCAGTCCCAGGAGCCGGCGATCCCATCCCAAACCCACCCGTGGCAGGAATTAGTGTCAGAAAAGGAGCAGCAGGCACGGAGCCCAACCTGGAGAATAGCCCTTGGAGAAGCCACTAAGAGAAAAAGGCCACCTGTGACCCTCCCCGTGCCCCGACCCAGCTCTCCGGTGCCCACGTGGGAGCCGGGGGGGTCCACGCTCCCCCCCCCCCCTCCCCAGGGAAAGGCCAGTCCCTGTGCGGCAACCGGGAGGCTCCGGCAGGCGGGACGGGGCTGTAAACTGCAGGGAGCTGGGCATGTAAACACAGACCGGGGTACAGGGGGGCTGTGCCGGGGGGCTCCTGGCCCCCCACCTCCCCAAAGGACCAAAACCAGGGAATGAAGTGGGGAGGGGGGTGGTTCCCACCAGCCCCAGCCTTCCCCGTGAGGCTGGGGAAGCAGCAGCATCCCCCCAAGGAAGGGGGTTCTGGAGCAGGGGACAGTGACACTCGACCGTGTATAAAAAACAAAAAAAAAAAAAAAAAAGAAAATTATCTTCCCCGGGAAGAGTTTGTGCACCATGTTCCCCCCAGCTCGGGGCTGGTGGGGGGCGGGGGGGGGGGCGCTGGGGGACAGGGAGGTGTGGGGGGAGTGTGCCAGAGCCGGGGCGCGCCGGCGCGGATGTTAGAGAAGAGGCGAGTCTACGTTATGCGGGGAGGGGGGGCGCGGAGAGGGGGGGTCCAGTCGAGTCGTGCGTCCCGGGAATCCGAGCACTGAGATGGGCCAGGGAGGCCGGTGATGCCTGCGGGTGATGCAGCCCCTGAGAAAGGGACCTGGGGGGTGAGGGGGGACCCCCAGGATATGCTGCTCCACCCCCCCACCCCCCCACCCCAGGAGGGACCGCAGCCCCATCCTCCCTGTGAGGGATGGGGATGTCGGGGCGCTGCAGTTGGGGGTCCCCAGTTCCGAAGCCGGTGGCTCGCCGGGGTTTGCAGCCGGAGCCGTGTCCCCACCGCAGCGTGGGGCCACCCACCCGTGGGGATCACCGGCCCCTCACCCACCTCTCACTTGATGAGGATCCCCGCGGGCCGGGCTTCGTCCTCGCTGGCGTTCCGCAGGTTCCTCTCCACTTCCTCCGAGGACCTGGGGCAGAGCAGGGTGAGAGGCAGGCGGGGACACCGCCGCAGCCCCTCGGGGCCCGTGGGCACTGCTTACACCGCTTCCCTCCCAACTCACGCCAGGAAATCCTTCACTTCCTCCACGGTGATGTCCCCGGTGGTGTCCAGCGGGTTCTCCGTGCTGCTGTTGGGGGAATCGATGGGGCCGGGCGAGAAGGCGGCTGGGTGCTCCTCGGGAGACCCTGGGGAGCCACGGGGATGGGAGGGCTTGAGGTTGGGGGGGGGGGGGGGGGGGGGGCACAGCCACGACACGACCAGCCCCGGTGTAGGGCTCACGGTGCGCACGGCAGGGACGGGGTGATGGCTCACGGTCGCTGTCGGTGGGGGAGCGTTGGCCCTCGGGGCTGCACGGGACGTGGGTGCCGTTCGCCTGCGGCAGCTTCGGCGTCGCCGTCGAGCTGTTGCTGGAAGGAAACGTGGAGAGAGGTTACTGCCAGAGCCGGGGGGGGGGAAGGTTGGGGGGTACAGGGGTGCTGCTGTAAAGCCCCCCGGGGCACGTCCCACCTGAGGCAGGAGGTGTCCTGGAGCCGGGCGACCTCCAGCCGGCACAGGGGTTCCGTCACGTTCCTGGCGCTCAGCGAGAAGCGCTCGAACTCGGACGGTGAAATTAAGTAGAAACCTAGAGTGTGGCAGGGGGGAGACAACAAAGAGCCTCAGGGACACCCCCCCACACACACCGCGGGGCTGCAGCCAGAGACAACGTCCCATCTCCAAGGGGCATCGTCCCCCAGTGCAGAGCTGGGGGGGCGGGGGGGGGGGGTCCTCACCCTGGCCGTGCTTGGTGAAGATGCAGGAGGCGATGCCGCTGATGTCTTCCTTGCGGATGCAGCCGTAGTGGACCTGGGGCCGCAGGCCGGGCACGGTGAAGATATGGATGTCCCCCAGGTTGGTGAGACAGGCCAGGCAGTTCTCCAGCCGCTCCTCGGAGCCGGCGCTGGCCAAGCTCACCAGGGCCACCTTCCGCACTCGGCAACCCTCGTGTGCCGTCAGCTTGAACTTGGTCTTGGCGCTCACTTTGGGCAGCGTGAAGACCTGGAGGAGGGGAGAGAGGACCACGAATTTGCAGGGTTTCAGCGGGAACCTGAGCAGCCTCCCACCACGGGAGCCGCCCTGGGCAAAGGGCAGCACCTTCCCCTCGGAGCCGCCACCCCGGGGAAAAGCATAGGAGTGTCCCAGGACTTGGCTGGTCACCTCCTGCCCCATCCCTGCACCCAGGGTGATGGGGACACCCAGAGAGGACCCGGGCCACGTTGCGGGTGGTGGGGTGCCATCCCCACCGCAGCGGGACACCGAGCTCACCTTGAACTGCTCCTCGGAGGAGATGAGCATGGAGTGGCTGCCCTGCATGTCAGGGGCCTTGGCCAGGTCCCGTGAGACCTCGTAGGGCTCGGGCAGGGGGTTTCCCCGCCCGTCCAGCACCGCGATGGCCACCACCGGTGCCCGGTGCATCAGCTGGATCTCCTTCCCCAGCACGGCCTCCACCGCCCGCTCCGAAAACTTCTCCTGCGACGGCACCTCCAGCGCGTAGGCGAACACCGAGCCAGAATTGGTCCCTGCCCACATCGTGGGGCCGTGGTGGGCGGCTGCGGGGAGGGGAGCAGCGTCAAAGCCCCCTCCCCACGGCGCGGCACCAGCCAGCCCCACCTGAGGGGCTTTTCCTGGGGAGTGGGAGGGGGGGGGTCTCACCGTCTCGGAGGAAGGTGTCGGCGAAGTAGAGGCACCGCACCACCCCCGAGAGCGAGTCGTCAGCCGAGCGGGGCTCGATCCGCCGCTGCACGGGCGTCATCTCCACTTCGGGGGGTCCCACCTGCTCGGCCAGCTGCGCGTTGGCCTCTTGCACCTGGGGAGGGGGACATGAAAAAGGGGGGGGGGGGGGGGGGGGGGGGATGTCAAGCTCTGCTTGGCTGGGAGGAGGAGCAGCCGTGGCGGCCCCCTCTCCCTGCCCACCTTGCTGGAGGGGCTGCTGGCGTTGAGCCTCTTCTTGCCCGACACCCGGCTCTTGCGGATGCGGCGGAAGGACTGCCGGAGGGACTTCTTGAGGGATTTGACGCGGGACAGGGGCCCCTCCATGGCCAGCGAGTCGTTGGGGTGCAGCGTACACCTGCGGGCACCGACGACGCTCAGCGCCCAGACCCCAGCCACGTCGCTCCAGGGGTGGGGGGGGGGGGGGTGTGTGTGTCGGGGGGGGTGGGTGATCCCCAGCATTGAGACCCCCAACCTCCCCCATACCTGGCGAGGACGGGGTTGCGCCGGTAATAATCGAAGAGCCCGAAGCCGTGGCTGGTGCCGAAGGCCACGAGGTTCCACTCGGAGTGGAGGGTGACGGCGGTGACGGCGGCGGGGGGCACGCACTGCACCAGCACGCTGGGCTGGAAGCCGGGGGCGAAGGGCAGGGGCCCGTTCCTGGGGGCCAGCCGGTCGTGGCCCTTCCAGGTGAAGCCCTCGCGGTCCTGCAGCAGGTCCACCGCGGCCACGCTGACCGCGTGCTCCGACTTCTCGTCGCTCAGCTCCATCACCAGCACCTCCGGGGGACAAGTGGGGACGGTGGGGGACGTGGGCCAACCCCACCCCAGCCACCCTGCTGCAAGCCAGGGGCTAAACCCCCCCTGGGTAGGAGCCCTTCATAGACAGGCACAGGGGTCTGTAAGGCCTGTAGCACCACCACCCCCCCCCCAGCCCAGTGCCATGTCTCCCCAAAATGGGAGCTGAAAGGTGCCCGGCAGCCCCCGCTCTGTCCCCCCCCCCCCCAAGTCCTACCTGCCCCGCCGTGCCGGCCACCACCATCTTGGCTGTGTACTTGCAGAGAGCAATTTTCTGCACGCCCAGGCGTGGGTCATCGCTATAGGGATCAAAGCAGCCCACCTGCGGGGAGGAAAAGGGGGGTGGGTGCTTTCAATACAGATGTGGGGCAGCCCCCCCACCCACCCCGGTGTACCCCCACATCCCCCCTCAGCAGCCGGCGGGTACCGGCTGCGGCACACAGGCTGCTCTGGGCATCACGCCCAGGAAAGGTCTGTCCCCACGTGTCCCTCAGCTCCCCCTCCCTCTGCCCCTGCCCCAAGGGCAGACCCGTGAGACGGGGCACGGGGAACAAGTGTCCCTTGTGTCCCCAACCGGGCGTCACACAGCAGCTGTGCCCCAAGCCGGGGGGGGGGGGAACACATTTCCCGGGGCACAGCCGGGATGGCTCCAGCGGGTGCATCCTCCGTGCCCACCTCTGGACTTGCCCCCCACCCCATCCCTTTTCCCCACGTTGGTGGAGGCAGGGGGGGTGCCTGTCCCTCCCCCACTCCCCAGCCATGGGGACGTCACCTTACGGAAAGGCGGCCACTCCTCCTCGCCCGCCTGGTTGAGGCTGTCGTTGTGCTCACAGTCCATCTGGAAGATGCTGGCGGTGCCCAGCTTGTAGAGGGGCTTCAGGGAGACCCCCGAGGCGTCCCAGAACCGCACCGTGCCATCCTCGTGCCTGGGAGGGTTGTGGGGGGGGACGACGACAGGGAAGCCCTGTTAGCGTGAGGCCCTGACATCTGCCCGGCTAACAAGAGCTGCCTGTGTGCCGGCAGCCAGCGTGCCAGAAGTTGGGGGGGGGGGGGCAGGACAAAGAGGGGGACAATGCAGCGGGTGACACACTCCTGCCCGGCTGAACGAAAAGGGGGGCAGCCCACCCAACAAGAGACGCCCTCCCCACCCCATCACCGCAGGAAGGGGCTGGGGGTGTGGGGGTGTCCCCCAGCGTGTTTCGGGTTTCCGAGGCCCGCCCCCCCCCCCCCCCCCCCCCCCCCAGCTGCCAGGCCACTCACCCGGTGAGGAGAAGCCCCCTCTGCGTGGGCTCCTGGGCCAGGTTCTTCCCCCCATCGATGGGCCAAGCCTGGAGGGAGGGATGAAGGGAGGGATGGAAGAAGCCCACCCGCCGGGAGCAGGAGCGAGCGTCACCCCTCTGCCAACCCATCCCGGGTGGGGGGGGGGCAGGCTTGGGGACACCCCCCCACCCCATCACTCACTGCAGAGGAGAGCCGGGGGCTCTGCTGCTCGCCGGCGCTGATGATTCTCTCCCAGAGCTTGAGGGGCACGTTGGAGACGTGGCAGGAGCAAGTGATGGCGGAGGAGTGGAGCGGCGCCAGGTACGGGGCGGGGATGGTGGGCCAGCCCGGCGTCTGGAGGTCGATGGCCACCAGCTCTTCCTCCACCAGCACCACGAGGGCACGGGGGTTCTCAAAGCCTGGGGAGGAGGAGGAGGAGGAAGGACGTTGCTGCTGCTAGTGGAGAGACACCTCCCACTGCCACCCGCTCCCCGGGGGATGCTCCGGTGGGCCGTACCTCCTTCGGTCGCCTCGGTGCTTTGGACGGTGAAGAAGTCGATGACGCGGGAGGTGAAGTCGAGGGTGGCCAGGGTCTGGCCCTGCAGCACGCTGACGCAGTGCCGGTCACCGTAGCTGGCCCGCGGCATCCCCCCGTTGAAGATGATGAAGGGGTTCCTGGGGTGGGATGAAGCAGCCTCCATCAGAGCCCAGACCCTGCAGGGCATCTTCCCTGCAGCCCAAGTCCAGCAGCAGCCCCCTCCCCAAACTGCTGAAAGAGGGGGGTACACGCCAGAGCATCCCCCCCCCCCCCTCCCCAACGCCACGGCGACCTACCCCGACTCGCAGGTCCGCCAGAGGATTTTGCTGATGGCTTTGCAGGGGAACGGGCCTGAAAGGAAGAAGCCAACCCCGCGGTTGCAGCGCTGGGATGGGGCGATCAGCCCCCTCCGAAACCCCGCGTGTCCCCCCCCCCCACCCTCCCCAAGTCCCCGCACCGTAGGGGATGGTGGACAGGACGGGCTGCTGGGTCCTCTGGCCGGCGCCGCTCACCGCCCACACCATGTACCCGCCGTCGCTGTGGGAGCTGACGATGCTCTTCCCGCTCTGCTCCCAAGCCAGGCTCTCCAGTTGCTGTGGGGGGGGCAACACAGGGCCGGGGGGGGGGGGGGGGTGGGCTCAACACCACCCGTGATGGGGACACACAAATAAGGCCACACGGCCTTGCCAGCCCCCCGCCCCCGGCCCAGTACCTGGTTCCCCAGGAAAAGGTGCTGGACGGCGCGTGTGCTCTGCTCCCAGAGGACCACCAGCCCCCGGCTGTACCCGATGAGGAGCCGGCTGTCATCGCGCGGGTGCTCCTGGATGGATTCCACCGGTCCCAGCGCCTTCCCGCAGCGGTAATCATCGGGGACGCTGCGCGGGGTGAGGGTCAGGGTGGGCTGGGGAGGGGGGGGGGGGGTGGTGTTGGGGAGGAGGGCGCGGGGCTGACAGGGCTTACCTCTGCAGGATCTCATCCGGGAAGAGGGTTTTGTCCTCCAGCAGCGTCAGGGCGGGCAGGGTGAGGAAGTACACCGCGCCGCCCTCGGTGCCCAGGCATGCCACCGTGCTGGCGGACGTCGGCAGGACCACCGTCACCCGTGTGATGCTAGGGGAGCAGCTGGAGGAGGGCGGCGGGGGGTGGGGGGGAAAAACAGGGAGGAGGGGGGCTGCATCAGCCCCATGCTGGGGGGAGCGGCTGAGAGACCTCAAACCTCCCCTGCCCCGATGCTGCACCCCCGTCGGCTCAGGAGGATGGGGACAGGCTCTGCGCTAACAGCAAATTAGAGCCACTAATCACCCCCCCGGGTCCTGCCAGCACCTATAAAAAAAACCCAGGGCCACATTCCACCCCCCCAGCCCCGCAGCATCCCAGTCGGGATCGGAGGAGCATCCCGGTGGGAAAACCACCACCACCCAGGGGACCTTGGCTGCTGTCCCGCCCCGAGCAGGGACGGCTGCTCCCACACACCGTTCCCAGCCGGCAGTGATCTCGCTCCCAGTCGCAGCCCCCACGGTGAGGGGGGGGGGGGCAGCTGGGGACCCCCCCTCCCCTCCTCCCCCATGGAAGTACTTAGCGCTGTCGGACCCTGGGCGTCCCGGGAGGCCGAAGCTGCGGGTCTCTTCCAGGTGGGAGCAGCCCTCCTTCTGGCAGATCTCCCAGAGGTGCAGCGTGTTGTCATCCAGCAAGGAGAGGAGCCAGCCCTGAAGAGGAGGGTGAGGGTGACAGCAGGGTGGGTGGGGTGAGGGGGGCTTCCATCAGGCCCCCCCCACCCACCCCACGGACACCCACATACCTGGCCGGGGAGGAAGTGCAGCTGGGTGACGGTGGCCGTCTCCTTGTGCAAGCCCGTCAGCTCCACACCCGGCGCGCCGTATCTGGGGGGGGCCGTCAAAGAAACAACGAGGGTAGAGCCCCCCCCACCCCACCCCACCCTTGGTGAACCCTGAAACCCTCTCCCCTCCCCAAATTCCAAATCCCCCTCCCAGTTCTGCCAGCAAGTGCCGCTTCAGCTCCGCGGTGAGCCAGGGCAGAGCATCCCTGGCAGCACCCCGCGCCGGCCTCGGTACCCAACTGGGATCCACCAAGCACCCCCAGCCAGGACACCCCGGGTCAGGATGCGGCCGACACGTGGCCGCGGTGGGTGTGAGGTGGCCGGGCTGGCTTCTGCCCCTCTGCCACCTTCTTCTTCCTCAGCCGCGGGGCCCTTGGCCAGCCCGGCACGCACCAGCAGCAGGGTGGGGTTCGGCATGCACCGGCACAGCCTCACTCACCAGACTGGTCCCGGCTCCTCCGCCGGCGACGCCGCTCAGCAGGAACCGGGGGCAGGACTGGTACGGGAGCTCCAGCCCAGCACGGTGCACCCCGACCCCGGGTCTCCCCAACATCCCCGGACCCAGCGAGCTGCTTCCCCCCCGCCCCCAGCCAGGTTGCCGCTGGTGCATTGTGCGGCTATTTGGGACACCGTGTGCCGGGGAAGGGGGGTGGTTCTGTGGTTCTCACTCCCAGTTACCCCCCACCTTGGTGCTGGGAACCAGCCCGGTGGCTCTGCCCAGAACAACAGGCAGGAGCCGTCTGGCAGCGCCGAGCCAGCACAGCCAGGCCAGAGCCACCGAAGCTTTGGGGAGCCCAAAGAACAGGGTGTGCGGGGGGGGGGGGTGGGGGGAGGACGCAGCGGGGATGACACGCATCCTCGCTCATCCTGGGGTCCTCCCGCACCCGAAATGGTGACACAGGCCAAAAGGCAGGCAGGCAGCACCCCCCCACCCCCCCCCCCAGCCCGGGGCAAGCGGCCGGGGAACACCGGTAGCACCGCCTCACCGCGACGGGGGTCTAAGCACAGGGACCCCCAGCTGCTTCAGGGGATCCCCTGGACGGTGGCAGCTGGGTTGTCTGCACCCAGATCCACCCAGCCCAGCCAGGGAGCACCCATGGGTGCCCCCACTAACCAGTAGCACCAGTCAGTCCAGCTCTGGCTGCTGCCTCGCCTGGCCCCGGCTTCCCCAGTACCATGAACCTTCAGAAGCATCTTCTTGGTGGCAGCTGGAGTGGGGCTGGGTGGGCACTGGCTGCAGTGCTGTGGGCAGCACCGTGCTGCCCCGAGCTGGGGACCACCCCAAAAACATCCCCGCAGAGGATGCGCAGGGCACCGCAGCCCCCCGCAACAGCGGCTCCGTGGCCCCTGGGGGGGGGGGGGGGGTGGGTTTAACATGGGGGTGGTTAGACCCAGCACCCCACGGCGAGGCGGCCGAGCGGAGCGACTGGCGACGTCGCGGCCGGGCTGGCCCCGGCAAGGGAAAAAAAGAAAGAAAAAAAAAAAAAAAAAAAACAAAAAAACCACCAACAAAAAAAAAACCACACCATCTTTGTGCTCGGGAGGCAGCGAGCTGCTGGCCTGGGGGCATGGTTGCCCCCCTTCAAAACCTGACCCTGACCTGGGCGCAGCCGCCCCCACGGCCCCCTCCTGCACACACAGACACACACACACACACACACACACACACACCCCCCCGCATTCCTGTGGCGTGGGGCCCCCCGAGCACGGGCCGCATCCAGCCCTGGACGCTGGCCAGCAGCCCTCTGAAGTCTCCCTGCACGCCGCCGGCAACAAAGCCCGGCCGGGCCCCGCGTCGTCATCATCCCCCCCCCCCCCACACACACACAGTCCGACCCCCCACCCAGGACCGGGCTCAGCGCCCACCGCAGCCCCCCCAGCCCGGTGCCGGGCTGGCTGCCCCCCGCCGAAAGCTGCACGGATGAGGCCAAGATGGACAGAAGCCCCCTGGGATAAAGAAGGGGGAGACACCACCCAGCGCACCCCCCCCAATTTGGGATGCCACCCGGGATGGCCGAGCCCCTTTGCTCCCCCAGCCTTTTGGGCAAGGTGGGGGGTTTCCTCCAGTCACCCCCCCTTGCTCTCCACTCGGCCCAGCTGCAGCCCAGCTGGACGGAGGGACAGACGGACAGACGCCAGCGGAGCAGCGGGGACGGGGCGCTGCCGGATGGGCCACGTTTCCCGGGGATGGGGGGCAGCCGGGGAAGGGGGGGGGGGTGTGTGGAGGGGTGTATATGGAAGCGGGGGGGGGGGGGTCCTTACCTCCTGCCCTCGCGGGGGGAAAAGGATACAGCTTCACGGCTCCCGCCTTGGTGCCGATGGCCATCACGCGCAGGGTGGGGTCGTAGGCCAGGGCGCTGGGCTGACTGGGGAAGCCGTGTTCCACCGTCTGCCGTGGGGACAGGCAGGTCAGAGCTGGGACCCCCCCACCCCAGATCCATCCCAAGCTTTCCCCCCCCCCCCCCCCAACACACACACACACAGCCCCCTCCCACCCCCACGGCTCCGATCCCACACCAGCCTGAGCTTCATCCAGCTGGGATGGGGGACCACGAGGATGCTGCCTCGTCGCCCGCTGCCACCAAGGTGGGGGAGGGTCCTTGGGGAAGGTCGGGGGGGGACACACACACATACATCCCTCCTCACCCCGTTTCCACCCCAAAACAGCCCAAACCCAACACCAAGGGCACAAGCTGCCCCACCTGCACTTTGGGGAAGGGACCCCCACACACACCCACCGCCCTAAACCCCCCCTGCCTGGGGTGCGGATGCCCCAGGAGGGGTGAGCGGGGTCCAGTTCACCCCCACGGGCAGGTCCCCTCGGGGTGGGGGGGGGGGGGGGGGGGGTCAGCGGTGCCGGGCGGCAGAACCAGGCGAGCGGGACCCGCCAGGGTTGGGGACGTCCCCGCTGGAGCCTCGTGCTGCCCGCGGGCACCTTCCCAAGGAAATCCCGGCCCGGTGACGGCGTGTCCTGGCTCGCCAGTTTGGGGAGGGGTTGCCCGCTTGGCAACGGAGGTGGGGGGGAATGCAGGGGGCACCCACCACCCCGGCCCGCGGCAAGGAGACCGTGGGGCTCCCGGGGAGGGACGGCCCCGGGGGGCAGCTCGGTGCGATGGGATGATACGGAGGGAGGCCGCCGGAGCCAGACTGGCCGGATCCTGACCCGCTCCCTTTGTCTGGGGCGGCCGAGGTGGCTTTTTCGCACGCGCTGTCACCCCTTGCCTCCCGCTCCCCCTCCGAAGGGCAACTTTTAGGAGCACGACAGCGTCCCCAGCCCCAGCCGAGGGGTCCCGGCCCAGTTCGAGGCAGGGAGCGTGAGGTGTTGGATGCTTCGGGATCCCAGCCCCGCGCTGGGTCACCCCAAATCCTGCACCCCCCATCTCCCCGGGGACGCACGCCGCACTGGAGCGTGGCGGGAGCTGGGACGGCAGCAGAACGGGGACACCCTGGTGATGCTTTAGGTCGGGGATCAACACGACGATGACGACAAAGACTCCCCTGCCAGGCACCCCTGTACCCCCCAGCCCTGGAGGGGAGGGGGGGGGGACCCAGCTGGCAGCCCCCCCCCCCACTTTACACGCAGCCTTTCCTCCCAGCCGGCAGCGGGGCCGCATCCGGCAGGCTGTGCCGGCCCGGCCAAGGCGCGCTCCCGGCCAAATTACAGCAAATCCCAGGCAGATCTGGAGCTCGGGAGGAAAAACAACCGTTAATGGGAGGCAGGTGGGCAGCTGGCGGCCCCAGCGCCAGGCTGGCCGGAGCGGGGCAGCTCCCCGGCCCCCCCCCTCCCGTGACGCCCTGCGGGGTACAGACCCCCCCCAAAGTGCTTGTTTGGGGAAGAGCTGGCTGTGGGGACCATCTTCCCCAAAATGAGGGGGCTCTGGCTGGGCTGAGCCTCGCACCCTGGCCAGACCCGCGCCCGCAGCGGTGAGTTTGGGGGGGGGAACAGTGCTGTGTTGGGCTGGTGGGTGCTGGTTTTGATCCCCCCCCCCCCTCCCCAGCACACCCCAACACCTCCCAGCCCGGCCCTGCTGTGGGGTGATCCGGGGGTCCCTCCGCCACAATCCCCACCGGGAGTTTGGGCAAGAGCCGGATGGCAGTGCAGGGATGCTGCCAAAGGATGGACGGACAGACACAGACGGACAGATTCTGCCCGGCATTCTCCTGCCCCCCCCCTCACCCCTCCGGGGATAGGGCAGGAAGATGGTCCCAACATCGAGGGGCTCTCAGGATGGGGCACACCGAGGAGGAGGGGGGCACCCACCAGCACAGCCCATCCTGCCGAGGTGCTGAGGGAAGGGTCTGGCACCCCAGGGCCCGCAGGGTCCCTCCCCGGTTGTTTGATGAGCCCCCGGGGGGCGTTTCTGCACCCCACATGAGGGGTCTGAGCGGGAAATCACCCCGATGACAGCAAGGAGGGGGGGGGTCAAGTTCTGGGTCTCTGATACCCCTGGTCCCCCAGAGACAGCTTTGGGGTGCAAGGGGACCCCAAGCTCCCAACCGCAAGGACCATTGCGACGTCTCTTCCTGCTGACATAGGGGGTCCAGCCCCCCCATACCCACCCCTGGGGGATTGGGGTGAGGGACTAAGCCCCCCCACCATGGGACATGTGGGTTGCAGCCATGAATGCTCCGGGGCCGGGCAGGGTGGGGGACAACGGGGCACCCCGAAATACCGCGGGCGGTGAGCGAGGCCTGGGGGAAGCCACGGGAATCGGGGGGCTTCCCGCGGGTGGGGCTGGGGAAGGGGGATGTCGCACCGGTCAGGGGGTCGCACCCTGCCCCAGGGTCCCCCCCGGGGTGCACTCCTGAGGCGGGGGTGTCCACTGAACCCCATGAGAGGGGGGTCAGCCCCCCAGCCTGACACCCCGGGCTGCATGCTGCACCCGGGGGTTCCGGGATCCACCCCCGGGGGAGGGAGGGGGGGGGTGCATCCTCCTCGGGGTGCCCCCCCCAGCCTGCAGCCGGGGATCCCCCCGCCTCCGGGGGCCCTGAGTCCCCCCCTGGGTCCCAAACCTTCTCCCCGGGGAGCGGGGGGGTCCCGGTGCGTGGCTCCCCACCACGGCCACCCCCCGGGGGGTGCACCCCGGTCTCCGGGGGTGCGGTGCTCCGTTCACTGCTCCCCTCCCGGGGGGGGGGGGGGGGGCGGCATCCCGCTCGGTGGGTTGCCGGAGCTTGCGCCACCGAGGAGGGGGCTACCCGCACCCCCGCTCCCGGAGGGGCTGCCCGACACCCCCGGTACCTCCCGGTGGTCCCAAACCCCCCAAGGGTCCGCTACTCTCCCCCCCACACCCCGCCGCCCCGGACGCACCTTGCTGAAGGCGAACAGATCATGCCGGAGCCGGTCGCGGTGAGGGTCGGCACCTTGCCGCCGGAACCGAAACTTCATCATGGTGGGGCCCGGTGGCGGCGCGGTACCGGGCGGGGCGGGCGGGGCCGGCGATCCCGGGGCCGGTACCGAGGCGGACGGTACCGGTGCCGCTCCCGGGGCGGGCGGTGCTGGTGCCGGTGTGGGGGAGGGGGGGGTCCCCGGGGGGGGGGGGGGGGGGGTCCCGGTCCCGGTCCCGGTGCGCGCGCCGAGCGCCGAGCGCCGCGCGCCGAGCCCGGGGCAGGCACCGCCGCGGCGGGGCGGGGGGCAAAGGCCCTGACAGACAACCCCCGCCACCAATCGCGCCAGGAGCGCGGCGCGGCCCCGCCCACCAGAGCTGCGCATGCGTTGCCGCAGGGCATGGCGGGACTTGTAGTTCCTACCGCTCAGGCGCCCTCTGTGGGCGCTTTATTTATTTATTTTTTTTTTTTTTTTTTCCTCTTTCGCTTTTTTTATTTTTTTCCCCCTCCGGGATTGTGACAGCGAGGGCAGCCACCAGGCCGCTCATCCCGGTCACAGGGCTGCCACCACCCTGAGGTGCTCTGGATGGAAGGGCCACAGGCCCCATAACCATGGGGTGCCCCAACAACATGGCAGCTACAGGGCCTGTGCGTGGCCGCACGCTCAGCACCCTGCCAGCTCCCGCCGTTAGTATTCACGCCCCGTTCTCAGCTGGCAATTGATTGCTCCCACCACAGCAGCAGGCTTAGCCATGCCCTGCTCCCTCCCAGCCTCATCCCACGGTGAAGGGGGGCACCCTGCCCTGCACCCTGGTTTGGGGTGAGTCACCCCGGGCAGGGCAGGGCTTCCCCTCCCTGCTGACTAACCCCGGCCCCGGGGGTGATGCCACATCGGGGTGACGCTGCCTTGGCAGTGGAAAAACACCCTGAGGGTGAGCAGGGGCCATCACCCTGATGCCCCGGCCATGGCATCCCTGAAGGATGGAGGGGAAGGGTTTGACCCCACACACGGCTCCGGGGCAGGCGATGGGAGAGGACGGTGCCAGATTGGGTAGGAGCTCATCGTTGCTGAGGAAGAAGAGGAGGAAGGCCATTATGGGAGGTCAGCAGACCCCATCCAGCCACATCATCCCCCCTCCGGCACCGCGTCCCCCCCCTTCCACCACCATCCTCATCTTGCAGGAGGAAGGCAAAGGGTGGTGAGGGGCTCCACATGAGGCCAAAACACAGGGGTACAGCCCCCCCCCCCCCCCCCGGGGTGCTGCAGCCATTTGGGGTCCAGGCACCGGCTGCAGCAAGCCCGGGCGGTGGGACAGGGTACGAGCTGCAAAGGGACTGCATCCACATTTACCCCTCAGTCCCCCAGGGAGGGAGAGGAGGAGGAGGGCAGCGAGCCCCATCCCTGCTTTCTAGGGCAGCGCAGGAGGGACAGACGCTGCACTTGCCCCCCCTCCCCATCCCCACGGAGCTGGAGACTCCCTTTATTTAGAAGCGGCTCCCCGCAACCTCGTTTCTGCCAGCAGGGAAGCGAGGCACACGTCCCAGCTGCCAGCACCACCACACAGGCAGGCATAGTGATGCTTTCTGCTTTTATTCAATTAATGCAGCAATCTATACAAGAAAAAAAAAAAAATAATGAAACCATGAAATTCCAAACCCTGACAGTGAAGAACCAAATTCTTCCTAAGAATCAACCAGAATTAAAAGATTCCCCCCGCATCAGACTGTACATAAAATAATCTCTGCCCCATTTACAGCGTTTCACACAGTACTTCTCGTATCTCAAACTTCAGAACTGTACAACTTTGTTACAAACCACGCTTTTTCCTAGGAAAAGCTTACAGAAAAAAATATTGCCACTTTCTTTTTTATTTCTTTTTTATTTTTATTCGTAACAAAAAAAAAAAAATTAGAATCTTTAAAAAACAAAATTAAAGTCAGCCAGAACTTGTAAGTGTGGGCAGGGGCACGGGAAGGAGCAAAGACACGCTTCTCAGTCGAATATTTCTCCTCCCGACTGGGAAAGGGAACGCTTTTGGCAGATAAAAGACTATTTGCCACTGGTGGGGGTCCAGACCCTGGCCCCCCAGGCCAACCTCAAAGCATGGCAGCTGTTTCCACCCATGGGGCTCAAACCACATAGGGGCAAGCACTAGATATGAACAGTGCCAAAAGTCAAAGGCCCGAGCTCTCACCCTGGCAGATGTCGGCTCGTGCCGGTGCCGGCTCACCCCGGAGAGGGGGTTGGCAGCCCCAGGGACCCCCGGGATGAGCCGAGCCTCGGGATCAGGATCGCAGCTCCCGGGTGTCCCAGGTCTCGCCTGACTAACAGCTGGATGACAGTTCAGCAGGCGTGGAGCCAGATGTGGCAACCAGAACTCCCACGCTGCAGGCCCAGCCCAGCCGGGCAGGGACCCGCCGGCAAACCGAGCCCCTCCCTTGGCCAGCTCACCTCTTACCCCCATCAAACAGCCTTCCCTTCTCTTTCCATCTTCCAATGGATATATCAAGCCCACGCAACCAATGCCAAGAAATTTAGTCCAACCACCAACTCTTCTCAAGAAATGGGTAACAGTAACAAACCCCAAATCCTCCTGCTGTTTGCAGAAAAGCAGGGACAAACCCCACCTTCCTTAGGAAAGACAGTTCTCATGGTCTGGGCTGTGGGTCTGGGTGCATGGGATCGTCACATCGGATGTAGCCTTATTCCCAGTTTCGGGCTGAGCGGGTTACACAAACGACACGCTGTGGGTGGATGGAGAGGAGGTCGGACCGCACGACCGGACCAGAGACACGACAAAGCCAACGGGGTCAGGTCTGCTCATGAGCCCATCCCACAGAGCAGACGCGGAGAAGTTTTGCCTCCGAATCGGAGCTCACTCACCCTCCACCCTCCACACCAGACCCATGCCACCAGCCTGACCCAAAGCCTGCAGCAGCCCAACACAGCTGGCGACAGAGAACGGGTACGGGCATCACCAGTGTTTTTGAGCCACCGTTTTACCAGATAGGTTACAGTAAAGGATCTAGACATCTGGATCCACGTGAAAAATGTGTCTTCTGGTTTCGAATCAAGGTTTCACTCCGATGTTGTTCAGTGCAAAAGAGTTAAAAAACCATGTTATCTACACATATACATTCGTGTGTATAGAAAATGTCTGTACAAGTGGGGAAGATGGCCCACCTACACACTGGGGACTCCTTGCCCAAGAGATGCCACGGGTCAGACCAACTGCGTCCCACTCTCTCCAAGGTGTCAAGCCCCAACCAGTCAGGTTGAAAACCAAGAGGACATGAAAACAGATGGTGGCTGGAAAGTGGCTCCAGCGAGGAGCTCCTCCCGTCCCTCCAGCCACGGCTGCCAGCTCAGACCCACCACACAGATACAGGGCAGGAAGGAAGGAAGGAGGGGAAGAGCTCCCAACCACGGCATGTGGGAATACCGAAACAAACCGGGAGAGAAGAAGGATGCCTGCGAGTGCACAGACTGCACAAGGACCAGGATGAAGCGATGGTTGGTACTGGGCTAGAGCTAAGATCTCCACCTTGTTCAGCCTTTGACAGAGATAGAGCCAAGACCTTGTCCCACAAGAGCTCTGCTCTGGGAAGCAGCCCTGGAAAGGGAGGTTGCCTCCAGCTTTTGAGTTGAGTATCCGTATTGCAGAGGTAGGAATACAACTGGGAGCTGGTGGAGGGGGGAGAGCAGGCTGTGCAGAGCTGAGACCTCTGGCAGCACCCACAGCAGAGCCTGACACCGAGGAGGGCACGAGGCACATCCAGGATGAATCCAGAAAGACAATTAGAAACAGCCATCGCTAGGCATCCTGCTAGCAGGTCTCTAGCTTGCCAGAGATGTTTGCACCAGCTGTAAGGACGAGAAGGGATCGCTGCTCCCTACATGCGGTTTTGCTATCGGGGAAATGCCAAGCTTTCCAAAACGGGGTTGGTAGCCAAGAGCTGGCCTGGATTCTCTACAGAAAGCTGGGAGTGCAAGGAACACCACTTCAAATGCTAAGCGTGGTCTGCAAATGGCTTTTTAAAGGTTTCAGAAGCAGCAAAAGCATGAAGTTTCAGATCTCTGGGCAGACAAGACAGGTTCCTTTGAAGGCTGGCCGCAAGACTGTGCCCATATCTCCGCACTGAGCCGACGGGGGCTCTCACCAGGAAAGCAATCAGATAAAGAGACTCAGAGACAGTCACTGAGGACCTCACCTACAAATCCCTTGCATATCAGTGGTGCTGAAGGTGATGGTAATTTCCTTTGCACTAATGTGACCGCTAGATCCAGCCTGAGCAATAAGCCCGATAACGGGCAAGTGGTAGGAGCTGCAGAAGTCGGAAGGGAAGGAAAAGGACACAGAGACCCAGATGTCAGCAAACGTGCTCAATCACAAAGGAACAGCACTCTGGGGAACAACGCCTGGGGTTTGTTTGGGTTTTTGTTTTTTTTTTTTTTTTTTTTGTTGGGTTTTGGTTTTGGGTTTTTTTTTTTGACTGGGAGCCTCTCAAGACAGCAGCAAATAGGTTTCAAAATATATTACATCTTTTTATTGCCAAGCGTGAAGACCATGAAGTGTGTGGGGGACATGACACTAAGAAAAACTACAGTTTGAGGGAGAGCAAAGCAGTAAAAATTTTAAAATAAGACTACTCCTTACAACGGCCAACACTTGGGCTCAAAGAATCAATTGGAGGAAGTTTCTTAAAAGTACGGTTCTAAATATGGTGTTGGGCCCCAAACTTTGAAAACGCCGAGGCTTCGGCCTGGGCTAACGCAAGCGGGTGGGAGACGAGGAAGAAGGAGGCAGACTTTCTAACACGAACTCCACTGGGCCGAATGCCCAATTCTTCTCAGCATTTTCTGCAGCAACCAGAAAACTCCCAACCCCAGGAGTACAGGCAGGAATAAGCCAGGAGGAGGTGGGCAACAGCTGCAGCATGCACTAAACTGGGGCCAAACTAAACCCTTGCAGCGTCCCTGCTCCCAGAGCCAGCCTCGGAGGGGACAAACCGCAGTCGAGCCACCCGGCTCCCCCGAGGCCACGGCAGCGCCTGTTCCTGCTCCATCAGAGCACAGCTGGTCCCTCGGGATGGGATGCTGCATCGTCTCAACTCTCTCCACCTAAAAGGGGCAGGGGGGGGCCAAAAGCCAGTCCCCCCAGGCAGTGGAAAACAGCTCCTCTCAGGGGAATCCCAAGGCAAGCATCCTCACAAGCACAGTGTTTTCCCTACTCCTCTTTGCTATCTCCAGCTCTGGGAAGCAGCATGTATTCAATGCAGTCACTCAACTCAGCAGCCCCGGGGCTCCAATACGGACCTCGGGTCAATGCTGGGCCAGCCTCAGTGAAGCCAGCCACATTTCCTTCCTTCTCAACCAAAACATACCCCTGGTCAGACCAGCACTGAGAAACCAGAACTCAAGTACATTCTTCTCGGAGAGGGCAGCACAGGGACACAAAACTGTGAGCCTACACTGGCTTGGGAAAAGGGACTGGAAAGAAAACTTACGGCATTTAAAACTGGTACTAAAGTGCAACAAAAACATCCTAAACCCTTTGAAAACAATTGCAGTAAGAGGGGTCTGCAAAACCTCAAACTTCCAGTTACTGCAGGGCACCCTTCAAACAAACCCAACAACAACTAGGTAAGAGCAGACCAAGGAGCCCTTTGGTGAAGCAAGGAATACGAGGCCACCACAGAGAGTTTCAGCTCCTGGGGTCAAACATCATATTTAGAACATTTGGAAAGAAAGTAAGTTAAAGCAAAAAAAAAAAAAAAAACCACAAACAAAAATACAATTCTTGAATCTTGCGCAATGAAACAGTTAAACTTTTTGGTGTTTTCAAAAGAAATTCCAACAGACAGCCTGGCATAACTTTATCTGCTTCCTAAGGGAGAGATGCCCGTTTGACCCATGACTCAGGACACCATGTGCACTGGACATGTTCCATCCTTACATATGTCTCAGCATTCCTCCATTCATAAAAACAAATCGCTAGATCCTTCCTGTTTACTCTTCAGCCTGAAAGGAAAAACCAAAACTGAAGCTAGATGGAAGATAGCCAGAGGGAGAAGAAAGTTTTCACAGACTGGAGGCCAATCTCATCAGCTCCATGAGCCTGGAAAGTGCAATCCTCAGTGTCGCCTCATTTTAACTTTCCTGGCTGGGCTGCCGTCCTCCTCTTCCTCGTCACAGTCCTCCGTGTACTCGTAAGACCTTCGCCAATAGTTCTCGGAGCTGAAGTTACTCCGTCTCCTATGTTTTGGTAAGAGGACTGAGCGCCTGTTCTCCTCTTTATCCATTTCTAGAATGCGTGGCCTAGGGAAAGAGAGAAAGAGAGAGTGAAAGCACATCCACGACAGGATTTAGGCACTCCCTGCTTGCCTACTATCTGCAGTTTTGCATACTTCGAGTGATATGACTGTTTCCACATTGCTCGCCTGTGCTGGGCACTCAGCAGAGCAGAAACAGATCACCAAGTTGCACCTCCCATGGGGAGGCTGAGAATTTTGTTTTCTACGGTGCAATTCTCCTTCCCTTTTCCAGGACAAGTTTTGGGCTTTACCTCCACCAGGAACACTTCCAAACAGCCCAGTCATCTCTTTTTAAGTGTAGCTTGTGGCCTCAAGGAATGTCCCTTGGGCAGAGGGGTCTGTCTCTTCTACAGCAGGACTTGCAGCACATAGCAGAGCTACTTTTTAAGCTGGTGGGGTGCCCGTGGCGCAGGATCAAACCACAGCTCCGAATTCCTTTGTCCACTCACTAATTCTCTCAAACGTTAGCATAGTGCAATTGTTATTTCTGCAAAGCTGCCTCTGCTCTCACCTGCAATCACTTCATAGTAGGACTGGGCTGGTGGGCTGCACAGAACACTTAGGTGGCAACTGCCAAGTTCCTCTAAGAGATACCACTATCTGAAATCCATGTTATTTACCTATGTTATATTGGAGTCTTTGAGGCCGAGGGAAGAGAAAAACATGTTTTTAACAGGCATCTGCTGCAGGAGTCTATGCAAGCCCCTCCACCCTGATCAGGTCACATCAGGCTGAAAATCAGCTCTCACAGATCTGCAGATTTGTCCTGCATGATCGCTTCTCTAATCATACACCAGCCCACTGCATGCTCAGAGGGAAGCCTTCATTTGCAGGCTACCTTCTCTTCTTGATCTATCTTCCCAGTCAGAGTCCAGGTGAATGAACACCGCTCATAAACAATCCACCCCTGCCCTCCTCCCTCCGGGACAGGTTGAAACACGGGCTGGGACCACACAACAGCCAAGCCCTGGGACCAAGCCAACTTTTGGTTTTTACACCATGCACAGAGAATGCCGTCTCAATCCTCAGGAAGCTTTAGAATTGAAGAATACCAGAAATATTGCATGATAGCTGGCAGACTGGCTATCACTCCCGGCAATCAGTATGTTCACACAGAGCAAGGTGATGTTTAAGGGAAGACTTGCTGCAGAGCTCAAGCTGTCTGAAACCTCAGCAAGGAGCTCCCCTGAAGGTCAGGCTTACGCATTCACACAGTCTGGTTACACACACAAAAATATACCCATGCAGCTCTGGAACCAAAACAGGTCTGAGAAGCTTCCCAAGGCAGTCTTCACCTTTCCCAGACAGCAAAACCTCACGTTCTCTCCCAAGACTGCTTTCATAATATAGTTTAACACAGCTGCACAGGTTGCTTGGCAATAGAGGTCAAAAATAATTAGCTGCAGGGAAACTATTGTTCTGAATGACTGCATTATCAAGAGCCAGCCAAATCTATTGCTTCTTCATTATGCCACTCACAGAATAAACAATGTAAGCTGCTTGCAGCCAGAGCTTAGCCTCCACAAGCCTAGGAGGAACGTATAAAGAACCTCGTTCTGATAAAACAGATCTGTACACCACAGAAAGCACCCAGGAGGTACAAGCTAGGATGTTTTTAAGTGTGCTGTGCAGCCTCTCTTGTCAGAGGCCAGGAACCTCAGACACGCACTGACCTAGAGTTACCATCCAAAACATTGCTCTTTGGAGAGATCATCCTACCTGTGAGCAGCATCAGGATCTGCTTTGCGATGGGACCGCTTTGGTTTCAGGATCTGGTCCCGGTTGCTTCCGGATAGACGGTCAGAGTTATAACCTGGTGGCAACACAGAGCTACTCAGGGATTTTGTTTCCAATCGAGGTGCATCTAGTCTTGTTCTGCAAATATTTAAAGAGAAAAGAATTTGCACGGAGTTTCTACAGAACCACTAGCGTGCGGCAACAGACGTCTGTCCTAGATGTGCTAAAGCAGAACCCTCGATCCCAGCCACACAGCTCGGGAAGAGGGTCAGGATTATTATGCTCAACAGCAGAACAAGCTGCAGCTTTCTGGTACATGCAGCTTTAGCTTTCACCTTTGCTGCCTTGGTTAGAGGAAGGCTCAGGGACACGTGTAGCCATGAGGCGAACGCAAATGGTGCTGGGCTTACTGCAATCCCAGTTACGGGACACAGAGTAGAGGCATTGGAGCCCCTGTGGCATCCTGTGAAATCACAGTGACTCGTCAATAACTCGCAGCTCCAGTTAAGCCTCCTTGGAGATGCCCTGCGAAATTCATCATCACCTACAACAGTAATAACTGCTTCTATCTGGAAACTCCCTACTGTCTCAAGATCTCACGGGGTCAGGCATTTCTCAGCTTGACTAAGAGTTTTAAAGAGCTGAAGTACGAGTCAGGAGAAGGTCTAGCAAACAGAACATGCAACCGCATCCCTTCCAGCAGCGCAGCACCGCCTTGTTCGTGCTGGGATAGAAACACACTCAAGCTACACCAGAGAACAAGCACAGCTCATCCCAGAGCAGAACTGTTGCTGGCCCAGGCACGACTGTAGCCATGTACACATGGAGAAGGCAGCAGGAATGAAAACTTGACAGCTCATTATCTTATCACAGTGCTATCATCACCATCTTCAAGCACAGCATAGTTACCAGTCTCAACTTACAAGCTCTACTAAAGTCTATTTCAAAACACAGACTGAAGCCTAAGAATGAACAAAACACAGTAAAAGGTGTTCCAGGTCTGCCAATTTCAGGAGGATCCAAGCCACTTCCCAGAAGGAAAAGCACCCTGATATTGCTGCTGCAGCCTGTCTCCCTCCTTAGGATTAGGGGTGAATACAGAAGGGGTCTGGGTGAAAGAAAGGGGAGAATCACTTCTCGCTCTCTAGTGCTGAACTTTAGCTCTTGAGGGACATTGCCACAGGAGAATCTCAACCCAAACTCCTGTTAGGAAGCACATACAGTTGCCAAGCTTCCTCTCCACCATCGGGGAGAACCTCTTCAGTTAACCAGCACGATGCCAGGCTGGCACGCATGAAGCTGGGCATGGCAGCCCAAGTCCTCCAAGCATGCCAGAAACAAGCAACACTTCTGCAGGCAGCTGCCAGCCTGGAGCCGGCGCTAGTCCACAACGCCGTCGTCCTGAGCTGTTCTCAGGTCCGGGTCTGGACCAAGTCCAGCTCGAACACCAAAGGCATTGCAGATCCTGTCCCGGACAAGTTAGGTGGTTTAAATAACTCTCAAATGCAAGAGCAACTACAAGCCTGCAATTAAAACAAACAAACCACCAAATATACTGCAAGGGCAAGGGAACACCAGTCACGCTCTCTTTGTCCATAGACAAACACAGGTATGAGCTGCAGGAGCACGACTAAAACAGACAGCAAATTACCTACCGAAGTTCAAGTTAAATAGAAAGCTCCCTGATGTAACTGCTTACAAAGAAGTACTTACGAATGGCAGCAGAAGCACTCTAAAATGACTTAAGACCCGCTTCAATCGGTCTCACTTCTATCCCCGACCTCTTGCAGCAACTCATGAAATTGTGAGCATCGTTTCTCCCCCCCCACCCCTCCTCTTATTCCAAGTGCCTCCAAACCTTGCCGGCTCCCCACAGCCTTGCGCTCCGATACGCAGGAAACACTGTGAGTGCCACCACACTACAGTGCTGAAGTGTTTATGACCTACTTGGTAACCACGCCGCTCTCAAGCACCCTGCAAAACTCGGCCACTTCTCCGGCTTGCACAGCTTTGCTCTGTCGCTGCCAGCAAAAACCGTCTCTAGAACCACGCGCTCGGAGTAGAGGCAAGAACAGATCCAGACGCAAATGTCTGGGGCCCAGCAGGCTCTGGCAGCCTATTCAGAGCCAAATAACCCAGCTCCAAGCTGCAGCAAAGTTTATGCTGCTGTATGATCCAATCCCACTGGAAAGCTCGAGGCTGATTCTGCCACCAAGACGAGGAAGAGGAGTTTTACAAGGCCACTGTCTGCTCCCGAGCCTCTCGTGCTAGCAGGCTACCAGCGGAAGTAGCTGTTTTCCTGGTTGCATAACACACTACTTCAGACTACACAAAGTCGCATGGTCTGGGACTAGGGAACGGCATTTGCTGCAGCAATACATGCCGCGGGGATGCAAGCGCAGACAAAGGTCACCGCAGCCCTGCTGTGCACGCACGCACGCACACGGGACTCAGCGAGGAGACGGCCGCCGTCGCAAGGGATAAGCAGCAATTAATAAGCTCTATTTGGCAGCAGTCAGAGCGCACCCTTTGGCAAACAGGCAATTGCCATGTATTCACCGGGGCTGCTAAGCTCTACGGAGATTACACAGAAATAATTACCAGGGGGTTTCCACTTTGCTCAAGAGAAAAAAAATCCTGTTGCGGTTTCACTCTGCCTGCCAGTCAAGTCAGCCCATCGCTGTCTGCGTTATGACTGGGCAGAGACACTGCTCTAACGCTAAGCAAATCAGGCCCCTAAAAATCAGGGGAAGACAGAAGGACAGCTAGCCAAGCATAACCCAATACAGCTCTGCGAGGAGCTAACGAGCCTTGCCCGTTGAGCAGTACTGAACCAGGTCAGCCAGGTACATCTCAGCCAGGTAAGTATTTGTCCAGTTGCACTTTGAGGACAGTCATGCTAGGCTGAAATAACTCAACACCTTAGCTTACAGAGGCTGGCAAAAGCAAGAGGTGGAGCCACTTTAAACAAGTACGTCCGATATCTGCACCCGTTTGGACAGCTTTAGCTTATTTAGCTGAGCCTGTCTTTTCTAGGGAACTGCTCCACAGCCTAGGAGAGGCAGCTTCTCTATCCCAAAGCCCAACTAAAGCAGTTACAAGATTTGGAGATGCCTTCCACTGGCGCTCATCAGCACTCGCACTGCTTTTCGTTGGCTGCAGTAACCAACAACGTGAACAGAGCAGCCTTTTAGTTCTTATTGCAACCCTCTCGCCTTCAACCTCAGGTGGCAATAACCAGCTATTGGGTGGTTTGGTTATGATCTATCTTTCTTTCATCCCACTATCACTTGCCACATCTCTTCCTGCCTCCCTGGGTCTGTGCTGATTTTGCCTGGCTAATGCCTCAGGGCTGCTGTTTTTCCTGCCTTCATTTCATGGGTCTCCCTAACCAGATGTCCAACTACACTCCACTGGCTTTGTGCCATGCCTTCACTACATTGCCAGATTTGTTTCGAAACCAGCTAAGCCATCCAAAAGCTCAGGAAGTCTGAATCTAGACCGCTTGCTCGCTAGCCTTATGCCAGCCTGGGCCACAACTGCAGCCCTGCCACCAACGCCCACTCCTCTGGCTGGGTTTACAGGACTCAAGTCATGTGTTTTCACTTGCAAAAAGATTTCTTGACAGCAGAATTATTGCTAACACCTTCTAAGGCACAATTAACATGGGTCAACATGTGGCAGTCACGTTTTTTGGTCTCCTAGTAGAAGGAACTGATGAGAGAGGATATATCTGGGCACAAAAAAAAAAAAAAAAAGGTTATACTGAGAGAGTTTGGGGTGGAGTTGGTTTATTTTTTCTCTATTTTCTTAAGAGCTTTAGGAACTGGTTGATGAAATGCCATCAAGAGAGCCTATCTTCTAAAACAGGAAGCGCACTTTCTAAAACAGCTTCTTGGCTTCCCAACACTGACTCGAAGGACAAGCTCTGTAAAGTGATCACTAAATTCACTGCATCCGTTTCCCTTCGAAGCCAGTGTCTTCCTCCCTCTCCTCAGGAAATGAAAGCCATGCTACCAAGAAAACTTTGTCTGCTTTATAGGAGATTCTTCATCATCAGAATCAGCTTCAAAAGAGCGTCCAGGTAGTTCATGCATGTGGGTATCATATGATCAGACACCTGAATACATAGTCCAAAACAAGAGAGTTTGAAATCCTAGCTGTTTGGAGTTAGGCTGCCAATGAAAGCCAGGTGTTTGGACACAAACAGTGCTTACAAACCCAGACATTACAATGAAGTGCTGCTGCACAGAGCCAAGGAGTAATTAACACTACAGTAACAAGTTCCATCTACTTCCACCAGCCAAGTGATGGGTCCAGCAAGACACAAGTGAGCATCAGTGTGACATCTAATCAAGAGGTAAGACAAGCCAGCAAATTAACAAGCAAGGCAGTTTTAAAGTGTTTCTTTAAAAGCACCTTAGAAAACATCACAATACCACATTCAAGTTTATCTTGCTGTCCAGAGGGCTTCAACACTTACTTTCGAAGGATGATGACAGCTCTTCTCTCCTTGATGTCCTGTGGTCGAATACAGTGTGTAATTTCATCGGCTGCATATCCACTGACAACAAAAACAAAAAGCCACTGTGAGAAAGATGACAGGCAGAAGGAAAAAGTGGTTGCCAGCCTCAGCAACTCAGTTTGGCTAGTCGTTTCCTAGCTTCCACCAGGAATTCCTCCTCCAAACACTGTTCCCCAGGCACATAGAAGATAGACTTAGAGGAAGGAAGAAACTTCAGTAAAGAATGAGGACAGTCAGGGCTTTTTTTTTTTTTTGGACTCAATTTTTTAGCATACACCAGAGGAAACTGCCACCTGCCACAACATTGTGAAATAAGACGTGTAGAAAATGAGTTTATGGACTGTAAATTCAGCCAATTCATTTATCAAGAGATTACAGAGCAACATGGGGAAAAAAAAAAAAAAAATCAGCACATTGCTCCCAAGCATCTTCTCATACACCTCCCCGAGAAAAAACATCTCTCATAGCTGAGACACACAGCATACCCGGACACGAACACGTACTGGAGTTGATGAGATCTGTTAGTTGAGGTGGGGGTGCAGCAGTGGCAAGAGTCCAGTGTCTCATCCCCCTCACCTGGGCACAGACACTGCCATCTCAGAACCCTCACCCTCCCCGCTACCCACCATGTAGCACATCCTCAGCCACAGTACGAACATTACCTCCCCAGCGCAGCCCAGTCCCAAGACAAGACACACAAGGTAACCTTCAAATTCAGACCTGCAAACCAAGCTGCACTCCTAAAACTTCCCTGCCACAGGGTTCACAAGGCGAGACAGCTCCCTGGGCTGAGGAAAATTACACCAGGCTCAAGCAGCTACGTCACCACGCAGTAGCCGTGGTCAGCAGGAGAGTGTTTTGCTGTATGAGATGACTTTACCTACTCCACGTTTCTAGCAGGCAGGACGAAAGCCATGGCCAACGAGGGCCCCAGCCACACACAACATACAGGAGCAGTTTTCTTGTGGCTGCTTCTGTTGTTTAGCACAATTCCTAGGGTTCAGCACAGCACGTGAGATCGTGGCGGGTCCATGGAAAGCAGCCATCACACCCGCTTGGACGCACAAGTCACCCTGCCATGAGCGCATCTCGTCTCTCGTGTGGGTGCTAACGAGCAGGTCGGAGGGCTGGGCCTGCCCTCTACCTGCTGTTTGGAGAGTGTCTGTTCCCAGAAGAGCCTTCTAGAGTCCAGTATGGGGAAAAGAGAAGTTAAACACCTTCAGAGCCTCCTGAAACAGCTGACAAGGACAGAAATGCTTTTGAAGGCACTTGGGCAAAGGCTGCTCAAACCACACAAAGCTAGCACATCCCCACGCTGGTTTAACCTGAAGCAGAAATCATCAAGCCCACGAGGCTCTACCTTGAAGCTGCTGTCAGCCGGCCCTCCAGGAGCACAGCCAGGGCCATCAGCTTGCAGGTTATTCAGGACGCTCAGAGCAGAGAACAGATCACGCACACGCAGGTCTTTTCTGCGGAAGGGACCGGGTTTCCTTTATCTAGTTAGATAACCCACCCACTCACCGAGAAACGCACACCTCTAAGACAGATTTACTGCTTTCAGAAGAGAGTTAAGAGTCTAAGACCTGATCAGTTAAAACAGGGGTTGATGTCCATCCCTCCCATCCTCCAAGGTATTGCAGAACAAGACAGCGTTATGTGAAGGGGCTTATAATGATGCTCTATTATGTTTCAGGAATCTCTGCGTCAAGCTCCAGCGAATTCATTAATATCACCCACGTTAACATTCAGCTCAGCGCGCATCCTCAGCGACACCCTGAACATCAGGAAAAGGTCTGCTTCCAGACCTGCGCTCTCCATCACGAGATGTCAGCCTGACCACGCGTTCTCACTCCCCAGGCAGGAGCTCGCTTTCCACCTCGCTTTCAGAGCGACGCCGGGCAGAGCTCGTGGTCCCACACGCACATGAGCAGCACCAAAGCAACAGCCCCGGTACTCCAGTCTGAGGGCCTAACTGGGACCCACCAGTCTGCCCCAGTGTCACGCTGGTGTGGTGTGGGAAACTCAGCTTGCACCGTGTTGGATATAGTGATGGCGTCTCTCCGCACGGCCCTCCAGCAATGTGGTTTGCAGAGAAATTAAAGAAAAAGATTATTTGGTTGTGTCACGCTTGTTCTGCTTCGTGCCAGCGTGAACGTCTCACCCACCACCCGGCCTTGCCGCATCCTGATGATGGGTGAAGGGGCAGACACTGGAACAAGACACCCGTAATGATATCGAGGGTCTACCCAGAGATTTCCTGTCCAGAAAACAAACCCAAAACACGAGGTAAGAGATAACTCGGTAAGTAAAACCCTAAATTGCCACCCATGAGAACATCCGAACATAACATCTCCAGCCTAAAGCATTCTCCAGATGAACACGAGGAGGTGCAGACGCTACCCACATGCTCCCCCAACTAACACCCCAACTCCCAACCTGTCAGATGTTACACCCCCAACTCCTCTCCACGTCTCTTTTTCAGCCCAGAAGAGCTGCTGCCGAGCCACAACATAACTGACTCACATAGAGATGAAAGCAGACTTTTTTTTTTTTTTGTACAAACATCACCAGAAGGGAGGCCCTGAAGTTCTGTAGAGTCTCTAACGAGAAATATCTCTAGGGGTTGACGACAGCCAGGTCAGCTCAGAGGCAGAGGGACCTCTCACACTGGCCCATCGCAGCATCTGAGCGGCTCAAGGCTTTACTTGCGGTTCAGAAAAGCTGATGCCACAAGCCACAGATGTGACACCGACCAGCTCAAGCAGAGCTTGAACAAATCTATTTGCCTCATCACCACTGGCACACACAGAACTTCCTCTGCACCAACGGCCTGTTCTGAGTGATCAGACTTTTCTGGAAAAGCATCGAATCCAGGCAGTTGCAGAGAGATTCCTCCAGCTGGGAAGAAAGCAGGTTCATCCTCTAGAGACTCCAACCAACTCCGATTATGCTACCATCAGGCATGCCTCGAGACCACAGGAGAGACAAACATCACGATGTTTCCACCGCTATTACAAACAGCACGGAGACGACCTGGAGCACTCACCAAGCTGCAGAAGGGAAGCCCGTATGCCGTGCAAGCTCTCAGAACTTGGGAAATGCTTCCTCTGGTCATTCATTCCTCAGGCTAACTGCAACAGCACTCTTTCCAACCACGGTGCTGAGATGCAACACCCAGCAGTTAAACCAAAGCCAGTGCAATGCTGAGATTTGCTACCTACCACAGGGGCTGTGGGCTGGCAGGAACCTCCCACCCCGGCTGGCTCTGCCCCCCCTGCCAGCTCCCTCCCTTTTTTCCAGCCTAAGCATTTGTCAAAGCACAGGTACCTCCGATGAATGGGCAAATTCCTCCATCTCCTCCCTACAGCTTCTATCGATTGATGCTTATCAAATTATTGTTAAAAAAAAGAAAACCCACAAAGGTGGCCCAGCCAGCAGCCACCCAACAGAGAGCCGATGGTTCACAGGACTGAAATCCAGATTAACTCTGCCTGCCTGGGAAGAGCAGCACAGACTAAAGCGCTGCTGCTTTCTCTTGGCCTTGCTGGCAGCAGGACAAACCTGCAGAAGCACCCACTTCCTGGGGCTGGGGGAGAAGCAGGGTCTAGAGAAAGTCTACTTCTAGATGTCAAAATCTACAAGGGCAAATCTTCACTGCAGATGCAAAAGGAGAGAAAAAAGTGCCTTGCTGGAAGGGCAAATGCTCGTTAGAGGGTCATGGGGTGGTTTAGCCTTTGTCCTGCTGGCAGAGGTGCACAGCCCAGCCAGGAGAATCTCTGTCCCACCTTTTAAACACTAACCTGTCGTTTGAGATCTGAATACTTTCCAGCTAGTTTGAGGTGGGTTCAGTGTTTGCAAACACCACAGTCTGCTTCAGGATAAGCAAATAAAGTCAAGGGAAGGATACGGGGAAAGCCCCTCTGCAGGGTGGGGGGAGCAGATGGCTACAAAATCAGGAGGACAATTTGGAATAGTCTGCCGAGAGCAGGAACAGGACAGGCATGATCTGGGGAGAGCCTGAGAAATGACACAGGGGCAGAGAGAGAGATCCAACAGCTTTCTTTAGGTCCTCACGGTAAGCAAACACGGCTACCCTGGCTTCCCAGAAAGGCAGCATGCCAGCAGCAGCCACTGACCCAGCAATATTTGAATCACAGACATTACAAGCATGCCATTTCTATCTGCTCGTTTCCCTATCTCCAGGGCAACTGCCTTCAGCAACTGTTTACTGGGAGGCAAAAAAGCCAAGTTTGGGGAGTCCACTTAAACATGACCCAGGGCTAGATTCTGGAGATACAACTCTGAGAGCCTACCGATGGTCTGCACCTCTCCCTGCTCCTCCCAAATTGCTGGGGTTCAAGGGGAGACAGGAGATCTTGCATCCTGCCGGGATCACATCATCACAGAACAATCACTTTGGCAGAATCTCTCTTAAGTGAGTGCTAAGTATCTGCTAACTGCCGTACCAAAATTGAAATGATACCCCTTTTTTAAAAGTCTATTTTGCTGGAAAGCAGAACATCTAACTGTGGATTAAGCTAGTGAATACATTGGGTGTGTCGGTCAGAAAGCAACTCTGCTATTTAGAGGGAAAAGATACCTTCGTTTGATCTGTGCGATTACTTCAGCCGCGTTAATAAATTGATTACGGCACCCAGGTGACGCTGGCCGATGGCCAACAACCCAAACACACAGGTCTGGGAGACACCCTGCTCCAATTCCGGGAACTCTGAGCCAGCTACCTCTTCCCAGCAGTTCTGGGGAAAGAGTGAGGATCTGGGACAAGGAAACATCATTCACTGGTCCCAGAGCAGAGAAAAGCAGCTCTCCCTCCTCCCACCATCCTCCACAGCAAAAGATGTAAGGCCACAAGTGGCTTTGACTACAAGTCATCAGACTGAGCCTGCATTAACAGCTCTACCAGTATGCTTCTATGCAAGAAAAAACTCTCACTGTCCTTAAATAAAAAGATAAAAAAAATTTAAAAATTTAAAAAAAAAAAAAAGAGACCTCTGGCTGTGAAAGGAAGGACAACTATTTACTCCAGGCCCGTCGAGGAAAGGCAGCACAGGGGTTCCCAGCACCAGCAGGAAAATTAGGGTAGAAAGTTTCTCTCCTGGTGTCCAAGAGAAGTCAGGGAATGGAGCGGCTGCCTCACAGCCGGCGGTCTCCATCCCCCGGGATGGAGCTTGCTCTGCGGTAAAAGGACACGTGGCAGCACAGGTCCCTCCCGGTCCCATTTCACAAAAATCACCCTGACCTCTGCCCCGTGCCCCCCCTCTCCTGCACCTTTCCTGCCCCGGCCAATCCAGCAGAGAACAAGAAAATGTCTTCAGCGCTGCTCCTGCTTCCCTCCACAGCCTCCCTCATCCCTCGTTAATCCACAGAAGTTACCTAACGCCGGGGGTACGGCGAGGATTAGTTAATGTTTGTGCAGCTTTTCCAAGATAAAAGCTACGCGAGATCTCAGCATTTATTATTGATGCACTAGTCAACGGTGCGAGGCTGTGTGTATGCAGGGGGAAAAATTCCTTCCCGAACCCTGCGGCGATCACTTTACACGCCAAAGCAAGGGATTGTGTTACGGCCTGGGAGCCCTGAAAACCAGCCTGGACCTTTACCAGTCCAAAAAAATAAAACCCCAAATGAGGATACAGATGGTAGCTCTGGGCACTACTGGCAGAGTTCGGGTGATCCCTGCTCCTGGCAGGGAGAACCCTGACCTTCAGGGACACGAGGGACTAGTGCTCACCGAGTCAGGCAACCCTGGGCGCTGGCCTTCGAGTCACCGTCCCCAAAACCTGGACACACCAGCCCCCACACACCCTGCCTGTCCCCTCACCTGCCTGCTCTGACCACCCAGCGTGTGCTGGGGAGGCAGCGGGGATTAGGAAGCAGGCGTTTCCCGGTGCCAATCCCGGCTTTACTACCGACCGGCTGCATGACCTTGGGCAGGTCATTTCACCTCCAAAGCTCTTTCCCCACTTGCAAGAACGCACGCCAAGTCCTTTCTCGTGCCTGTGACCCGCCGTGCTTCCAAGTGACGGTCCCACAGGGCTCTGCGCTCCGGTGTCCTCACCGGTGTCAGGCAGGGGGAGGGCTTAGCGTTCCCAGTTTACAGACTGGGAAGACGAGGCCATTCACACCTCCTCCCCACGCTTAAGGTCAGGTCAGAGAGGCACCGGCAGAGCTAAGAATAGACCCAGGAGCCCTGTCCCAGCCAGCTGCTCCGCTCTGACCACAGGATCCATTTTGTGTCTCGATGTGTTATTTTAACCGTTTACGGAAGCTACGGCGAAGCTCGGCTCCTCAAGCAGCCGCGCTCCCAACCAGGACTCGCCTCGAGCCCCACGGAGAGGGCACCCCACCCCACCCCAAATCAATCACCCACCCAAATCCCCATCTACCACGGTGCCAGGACTCCCCCCTCCCCAGCTCCTTCCTTCACCACGAGACCCTGCACGCCCACGAGCGGGCGAAATCAAGCCCGAGCCACCGTCAGGGTGTGCATCCGCGTGCCTCGTGATTAGCGTTACACAACCGAGCCCCAGCACGTTAACGGAGGCCCCGGTAACGCAGGCGAGTTACCTGAGCACCGTGACGCTTCCCCTCTTCACAGGCAGGAAGAGAACGGGCTCCGAGACCCTGATGGGTTTGAACTGGAATTTACACCCGAAGCAGAGCGCTGAGTCGCTGAAGAAGGAGACGGAGACGATGGGCCTCTCAAAGATATGGATGGGGTCCACGTGGGAGACAATGCAGCCCCCTGGCTGGTAGTCGTTGATGACGGCACTGTTCACAAAGCCCTCGGGAATCACCCGGTGCTCCACCAGCTTCCTGATCACCAGGTCGTGCACCCACTCGGGGATGGCGTCCACCTCTCCCCGCGGGTACAGGCGCTCCTGGCCAGGGCCTCGTCTCTGCAGCTGAGACCCGTAGGTATAGCCCTCCCCGAAGAAATATTTGTTCCGCAGAGGCGCCCGATCCACCGTGTGCTCCTTGTAGAGCCCTTTCTCCGCCCGGGACACCACGTCCTCGATGCGAGCTTCAATCTTGGCGCACTCCTCGGCGCTGAAGAGGCGAAGCTGACGGATGCCGCTTTTGACTTTCCGAGCTTCTTCCTCTTCCTTCTGCTCCTCGTAGTCGCTGGGCTCGGAGCCGGAGTCCTCTTGGTGCCGACGTTTGCGATCGTAGGGGGGTTCAGGGGGTTCCCGGGGGAGGCTGCCGCCGCCGCCGCCGCCGCCGCTTTTGTGGCCGTCCCGGTAGGGCATCATGGACTTGAGCTTCTCCCGCAGGTCCGTGTAGCCGGTGCCGGCCATAGTGAGTCCGCAGCCCCCGCCTCTATCGATCCCGGCGTTGCAGGAGGCGGCGGCGGCGGGCGGCGGGGGACGCGCAGCTGCTATTCATGGCACCCGCCGCCCTGCTGGAAGAGCCCCGGAGGAACGGGGAGGTGAGGACCGGACCCCCGACCCCCACCCCCAACCCCCCCACGCCCCTCCGAAACTCCGCCACGGGCCCCACCGTACCCCCCCCCGGGATGATGGGGATCCCCCCCCCCGGGATGATGGGGATCCGTACCCCCCCGGGATGATGGGGATCCCCCCCCCCTCCCTCCCTCCAACCTCCCGGTGGTCAGCACAGCCCCTGCCCTCCCTCCCGCCGCGGCGAAAGGGGCGGCCCGGCGGACGCCACACTCACGGCTTCGCCCGGGGCGGGCGCGGACAACGCTCCCGGTGCCGACGGCGCTCAAGCGGCGGCCGGGCCTGGCCCATGCCCAGCAGCGGCCCCGGTGCGGCGCGGAGCCCCGCTGCCCGCGGCGCTGCCCATGGCCGGGGGGGGGGGGGGTACCGGGATGGAGGGAAGGGTGGGGGGAGCGGGGCCGGTCCGGGCGGCGGTTGGTGACCGGAGAGGGAGGATGGGGGGGGGGGGGGGTGGGGGGGGGTGGATCTCGCGCGGCCCTTCCCGCGGCGCGCTACGTCACCAGGAGCCAGCCCGACATCCCGGATCGCCGCGGGGCCGCCCCGCCGCGCACGCGCCCCGCCGCCGCCGCCGCCGCCCCTCCCACGCCGTTCCTCCCTCCTCCCTTCCCGGCCCGGCCCCCTCGCACGTAACTGCACGGCGGCCCCGCCCCCGCCGCCACCTCCTCCCTTCGCCTCACGCCGTAACGGGTAACCGGCAGCGCCCGCCATGCCCCGCCTCCCGCCTCGGCGCTGATTGGTTGGGGGGAGGGTGCGTGCTGCCCGAGCCGGAGGTTGATTGGACAACTGGAGGGCGGAGCGCGGGGTGGGGGGGGGGGGGGGGGGCCTTAGCGGGCGTTGTGGGTGGCCGAGGAGATTGCCTGCGGGAACGGCGGCGGCGGGGCGCGACCGCCCCCTGGCGGGTGGGAGGGAGCGGGACAACCGGGGCGGGGTCACCGGGGTCACCGCCGGTTCCGGCCAGGCCGCCCGCCACACCGGCGGTGAGAAACCCCCGGGCTGCGGCGGGGGAGCCGGGGGATGGGGCTGGGGGGAGGCGAATGCGTGGGGATGGGGGAAACTGAGGCACGGAGGGAGAGGAAACTGATACGTGGGGACATGAGGAAACTGAGGCACGGGGATGGGGGGAACTGAGGAGGGGATGGGGGAAGCTGATATGTGAGGACATGGGGAAACTGAGGCACGGGAATGAGGGAAATTGAGGCACGGGGAGGGGGAAACGTGGGGACATGGGGAAACTGAGGCACGGGGATGGGGGAAGCTGATACATGGGGACATGGGGAAACTGAGGCACGGGGATGGGGGGAACTGAGGAGGGGATGGGGGAAGCTGATATGTGAGGACATGGGGAAACTGAGGCACGGGGAGAGGGAAACGTGGGGACATGGGGAGACAGGCACGGGGATGGGGGAACTGAGGAGGGGATGGGGGGAAACTGAGGCACGGGGATGGGGGAAGCTGACACATGGGGACATGGGGAAACTGAGGCATGGGAAGGGGGGGAACTGGGGCATGGAGAAAGTGAGGCGTGGGGGCGGGGGGCAGAAACCCACCCCCCCAGCAGCGAGCGCAGCACAAAACCACCAAGGCTGAGTCGGGCCGGGCTCAGGGTCGTGTATAAAACCCCAAGAACAGCAGCGAAGGCGCGAGCAGCACGGAGGGGACGAAGGGGATGGCGGCCACCGGCCGGGCCGGGGACCCCCAGGGATCCGTGTGTGTGTGTGTCCCACGGCGGGGGGTCCCCGCGGCGGGGTGGGGGGGAGCTCAGAGCAGGGTGATCTCGCTGGGCGGCAGCGTCTGCCTCTTCTCCCGGGCGCCCAGCAGCCTCTCCATGTGCACGGCCACCACGCGACACAGCTCCAGGCCCTGCCGAGGTGCGGGGGGGGGGGGGTACATGGCATGGGCGGGACATGCCACCCGTGACCCCCCCCCCCCCCCCAACACACACCCCCTGAGTGTCCCTTACCTGCTCCAGCTGCAGCTGGGTGATGCCTTGGGCCAGGAGGTCGCCCAGCGTGATCTCCACGTAGGGGTAGCTGGAGCCGGCCGTCGGCCGCTGCGTCCGCGTCGACTGGATCTCCTTCAGCGAGAACTTGGCGATGGGCTCCTAAGGTGGGGACACACACACACACACACGCAGAGAGGGTGGCTCATGTGCCCCCCCCCCCCCCCAAAAAAAAAAAGGACTGAGAACTGCGGGACAGGGTGGAGGGTGCCAAGGAGGTAACACACCCCACACACACCCAGGGTGGGCAGATCTGGGGTAAAAACCCGGGGATCCCCTGCAAAGAGGGACGTCACCCCCCCCACACCACCACCTCCCTTCACACCTCACGGTGCCACCCAGCTCTGTCCCTGCAGCGGGAGATGGGGGGGGGGGGCGCCGGTTGGCGCCCCTCCTACAGCCCCCCCACCACCACCACCTACGTGGGTCTCCTTGCTGAGGAAGTTGAGGCCGTTCTGGTTGACAGCCAGGATGCAGGGCGAGACGATGGCGTTGTTGCTGCAGCTCTGGATGTAGAAGAAGGACGAGCCAAACATGGGGTAGGCGCTCAGCAGCCCTGCGGGGTGGAGGACGGGGTCTCAGCACCCGCTGCCACCCCCTCCTCCTGCCCGCTCCCCGGGGTGGCTCGCACCCACGGGGGCTCCGCCGAGGGTCCCAGCCAGCCCCCATGCCTGGAATGGAGCTGGGTCGGCTCCCGGAGCCTTGCACCGCTTCAGGCTCTGGACTGGGAACAGGATTGGACCCAGGAGCAGCCAAGGGGCCCCACCAGAGGGAAAGCGGGTGGCCGAGCGTGGGGACTGGGAGCCCTGCCCCGCTACGTGCTCCTGACAGAGGAGCCCCCCCAGCAGCATCTCATCACCCTCGTTAGCACCAGCATCCTCATTAGCATTGTGTCCTCATCAGGAGGACACTGCCAGCGGCACGTCACATCCCCGAGCGCCACGGCATCTCCGGCACCATTGCATCCTCATCAGCACTGCATGCCCAGAAGCCTTGCATCCTCGTTAGCATCGTGTCCTCCGTTAGCACTTCATCTCCGTTAGCACTTCATCTCCCCCCCCCCCAACCCCCCCTCGTTAGCATCCCCTCCCCATCCCCGCTCACCCAGGAACTGCGCCCTGGCTTGGTGGGCGCTGAGCGCCTGGGCTTGCTGCATGTGCTGGGTCACCATTTGGAGCCAGGATTGGGGCTTCAGCAGGCGGAAGAGCTGCGGGGGGACGTAGTCCTGCACCTCCCGCCTGCGGGGAGCCGGAGGTCAGGGCCAGCGCTCGCCAGCGGGTCCCACACCCCATGGGATGCGTGTGTGTCCCCACGGATCCCCTGACCCCAGCCCTACGCGGTGGGGAGGTGGTGGCGGTCCTTGGCTCGGTGCTGGAGGGCGGCCAGCTTGGCTACTTGCGGGAAGTGCTGCTCTCCCGGCCTCGCGGGCGGCAGGACGGTGAACAGCCCCTTGAGGTAGTCGGGGAGCACCTGGGAGGGGACACAGAACGCAGGGACACGGCTTGGGGACGGGGCACGCTCCGGAGGGGGAAGCCAAGGAGATGACCCCGGGGGATTCTGTCAGGGTGGCCCGACCTGGTTGTAGTGGACGGTGACGTAGAGCTCGTTGTCGAACTTGAGGGGCTGGCTCCAAACCACGCGGCGGCACCAGAAGGTGTAACCGGTGTCCCGGCGCTCCGTCTCGGCAGCCACGTCCAGGATGTATTCCCGGCGGGTCAGCGGCCGCACGCTTTGCCCTGTGCCGTCCCCGGGGTGATGGGGGGGAGGTTTGAGTGTGGTCGCTGCCGGCGGCATGGCCGGGTGGTCCCCGCCAGCCCCTCACCTCTGTCGGTCACCACGAAGAGGATGTATTCGTCAAAAGCCTCTGGGTGCTGGAGCCCCATCTCGCAGCACAGCTCCTCGATCACGTCCAGAGCCACCTGGGCACGGGGACGGGCGGCTGGGGTGCTGCCACATCCCCCCACCACCACCGTGCTCAGGGCCACCAACGGGTCCTGCAGTAGGGCTAATCCCATGCGGCTCCCCAGGGATGGGATCTCCCTTTCCCAGAGAACAAAGTCCCCCCAGCTCGGGGACAGCTGAGGGGTGCAGCCCCGCCACACACGCACACAAATCCACACCCCCGGGGTGCTCGCAACTGGGGGTCACCAAGCCTCTCCCCCTCCTTGGACTCACCGAGCACGTCTTGATCTTGAGGTGCTTCTCGATGCCGCCGGGCAGGAGGAAGAGCTGGCGCTTGGCGCTGCGTCCAGCCTGGGTGGGGAGGACAAGTTGGGGTGCAGGGGGGTGGCCCCTTCGCACAGCAAGACCCCCCAAGGACACTCCGAATCCCCAAGCTGGGGACCGTCCCATGGGGATCATCCTGTGTCTTGCCCATCCTGCTTGGATGACCCATCATGCCCCCTCCACCCCATGTGCGCAGAGCTGCGTCCCCACTGGGGACCCCTGAAAGCTCAGGGTACCCCCAAAGAGCTACCCCTGGACAGCACACCCCCAAAAAAGGTCCGTTCTCCCTGTTCCAGCAAGGGGCCATCAGCTCAGCTCCAGGACAGTGTCTGGGGGGGATCCCAAGCCCATGGGGGGATCTGGAACCCTCTGGTGGGGGGGGGGTGTGGGTGGATCTCAAGCTGACATTCGCCCTGCCCCGCGCCCCAGGGGCACCCACGAGCACCCAGTCTCACCACCATGGCCCTGAGCTCCATGCTGCTGGGGAAGAGGCTGCGGCCGCCGTACTGCAGGGTTTTCCGCAGGTTTTGCTCGCAGGCTTTGGCGATGCCTGACGGGGTGAAGGACGGGGCTGAGCCGTGATGTTGGCTCCGCTCGAGCACCTCCGGAGCCCCGTGACACCCCCCGGGTGTCCTTCCCAGCTGTGCACCCAGCACCCTGAGCGCCGCACAGCCCTTACCCTGGAAAGGCAGCTCCGGGTGGCTGCTAGCACCCTGCAGGAAAGCCAGGAGGAAGGGCTTGAGCACCTCGGAGCACTTGTAGTAGGCAGCGAGGATGTAGAGCAGCCTCCAGCCCTTCTGGCAGCTGTCCCTGCCGGGAAGAACCGGGGTTGAGCCCCCGGCCAAGGCAAGGGTGCCCACGGCCTCCCTCAACATTGGGGTAGCTCAGCCCGAGACCAGGGACACATGTCCTCAGTGCCAGCTGGGGTGGATGGCACTGGTTGCAGGGACTCACGGATTGGAGCTGGTGTTGTTGGTGATCTGCTTGATGATCTGGCAGTACAGCTCGTCCCGCAGGACTTCGTGCTCTTTGCACAGCTGGGGGACAGGCGCGGCTCACTCTGCGGCTGGAGATGTCCCCAACTGCCACCCTCCTGCCCAGGCCACCCCCAGGACTCACCGCCCCGGTGAGGGATTTACCTTGAGGATGGTGCAGATGGCATCCAGCTCTGTCTGTCCCCGCAGAGGGTGGTCGCCCATGAACTTCATCACGGCTGGGGATGACAAAACCACACAGTGACGCAGCTCACCCCGTCCATTCCCTGGGGACACGGTCCCCTGGGTTTGGGCAACATCTCGGGCACGTGGGGCGGTGGGACCAGAGGAGCTAAACCCCCACTCTGGGCCAACCCCATCAGCCCACCCCGGTCCTGCCCTCACCCTCCTCCAGGGATGGGGCTGGGGATGGCCGTGGGACGGGGGGATGGGGCGCTTGTGCCCCCCCACCTACCTTGAAAAGCCTCAGCCGCCAATTTGCTGATGCCACCATCCACGAATTCGATGAGCGACTCCTGGATGGGGATCTGGAGGGGGAGAGGGTCAGCTCCCAGGAGCAACCAGAGGGATGGGATGGGGGTCAGGGTGACATTCGCGGAGCTCCCGAGCACACCAGGACCTTGGGGGGGGGGGACGACCCACAGGTGACAGCAGGGCAGGGGCACCCCAAGGCACCCCGCTTCCCCGTACCTTGGTGAACGTCAGCATCTCCAGCACATCGGACACGTCCCTCTTGGCTTTTGTCCCAGAGGAGTCCCTGGGAGAGGGATGGGGGAACGGGTGGGCACGGGCGTCCCCATCACAGGGTGTCCCCATCCCACCACCGGCCACTCACGTGGTCCTGTGCCGCGCCGCACGGAAATATCGCCGGGCGAAGGCCAGCATGGGGCAGGTCCCTGCATTGGCCCCGAGGCGCTGGCCACCGTCTCCCTCCGGACCCTCCGCGAAGGCGGTGCCGCCGGGGGACGCCTGCGGAGCAGGGCGGTGGGTGCTGGGCACAACCAGCACCATCCCGGCAACGGCCCCCGGCCAGCACCCACCTCGGTTTTCCGGTCCAGCTCCTGGGCCACGGCGGTGGAGGCCACGGCCGCGGCCACGGCCGCCGAAGCTGCCACCTTGCCCTGCTTGTCCTTGGGCTCCTCTTTCCTCTCGGCTGGCAAATGGACAAAATCGGGGGCCACGACGGGCTGGACGTACTCGGTGGGGAAGAGCCCCGACCTGCCGTGGATGGCTCCGAACTTCCACCCTGTGCCGGGCAGATGGTGGGGATGATCCCGGGCTGGCAGGCCTGGGGGTCACCCCCCAAAAAGCTTCTGCCTGCTCCTTCCTGTCCTCTGCACCCCGAACCCTTTCCAGGGGGTCTGACCACAGGTTTTGGCTGGAAACGGCTGCGGTTTGGCACTGCTCGAGGTAAAGGCATGGACCAGGGGCCACAAAGCCCGTTGCCTGCGGGGATGTGGGGCAGCACCCTGGGCCACCCTGGGTGGGAACTGTGAAGGAACGTCCCCCCACATCAGGTCGGTGCCGAAAAGAGCCCAAACCATCATGCCGAGGGGTGACAGAGGCAGGATCGTGCCCCATTCCTTGGCAGGGACACTGCTCAGGCAGTGTACATGCGCTGGGGACACACGTGGGGGGACACCCTGGCACCCACCAAAATCCTGGGTGCCCGTCTTCAACTCCTCCAGGTACATCACCTTCTTGCGGACCACGCAGCCATAGTAATGGTCTGTGGGGACGTCATGGGGACACGGGGGGGGTCACAGGAGGCGAGGCCACGGCACGGCCACCTTCCCGCGCCGGTGAAGCCATCAGTCCTGCCGCCCCCGTGTCCTCCCCCCCCCTCATTGAGGGTGTTTCGGGATGGGGTGCTGTGGGGGGGAGCCGCTCACCTCTCTCGGGGCGCTCCAGTGCCTGCAGGTGGATGATGTCCCCTTTGTGGAAGCTGAGCTGGCGCCCATCCTCCGGGCTGTAGTTCCTTACGGCCACCACGTACTGGGAGTCCTGGGCGCAGGGGAGGGGGTGGCACAGCCCGTGCACACACACCCACATCCCACCCAGCACAGGGGCTTCAAGCACCCACGGCCACAGCACCACCCCAGGGTGTCCCCCCGAACCCCCCTCAAACACCCTGTCACCCCAGGCACTGTCCCATTTGCAGGGTGGTCCCCGCTGCGCTCCCCAGCCCCTCCAAATGTGGGTACACAGGCAGGGTCCAGCCCCCAGGACATGCCCCCCTTCCTCCCCCCCCTCCCCGGGCCCACCTTCCTGAGCTCTGTGATGAAGTGGTCAACCATGGCCTTGACCTGGGGGGCTTTAGGGGAGAAAAGGATGAGCTTCTCGCTGCTTAGGTTGAACTCCAGCATGTTCTTGGACGGGGTGGTCACGAACAGCACGTCGGCGTAACTGGGGCAGGGCGAGGGGAGGCTGAAACACCCGGCACCCACAGCACCCACGTTCCCCCCCCTCCGTGACCACCCGGGCTCCTCACCCTTACCTATACGCCCGCAGCACCCTCAGCTGCTCCCCAGGGACGTTGGTGCCTTTCATCAGCCGCAGCAGCTTGACACCAGCGTGGGACACGGCCACGATCTGCACGCCTGTCCCCACGCTGCCCTGCAGGCCGGGACGCTGCCTCAGCCGGGGGCACGGGGCTGCAGTAACACCCCCCCCCCCGACCTGCCCCACGGCTGGACCCTCACCGTGGCGGGGAAGAGGCGTGAAAAATAAACCTCGCAGCCATCCCGGGCCGTGGCGATGATCTCCCTCTTGACGCTCTCCGTGGCCACGGGGCTGAAGGAGTCCAGTTTGTTCGCCGCTGCGGGGAGAAATACGCCATGGTGAGCATCCCTCCTGCCCGGGGGAGGATCCGGACACAGGGTTCACAGCGAGAGCAGGGATGTTCATCCCCCTTCCCAAGCCTGACAGGACCGTGATGGAGAAACAGGTATCCCACCACCCCAGGCACCTCGTAATGGTAGCGAGCCTGGCTGAGACCTGACACAACTCGTGACTTTGCGGAGCGCTAAAGCACAAGGCGGGATTCGTTGCGTTTTGGAGGCAAAACTACCCCGGCTTTAAGCAGAGCTGGTTGTGGCTTGGCGATGCTCAAGAGATGAGGATGGGCACTGGAGCGGGTGGGTGTGAGCCCCTCAAGGTTTGGCCCCCCCCCCCCCCAAGGTGTGAGCCCCCCACCCCGGGAGTGGCAGGACGCGGGGGTGCGGGTGAGCGTTACCGAAGAGGGATTTCAAGCGGAGCCGCTCCTCATGGCTGATCCGGATGCAGGTGTCGGACAGCGTGTCGCTGAAGATCTGGGGAAGGGGGTGAGGAGCAGCGGGGCTGTTCAGGGAGAGGGGGGAGCAGCATTCCCCCCAGCCCCCCTGCCCTGCCTGGACCCCCCCCCTCCCCCCCGGCTCGGAGCAGCTGATGGGGACACCCCCCTGCTCCTCTGTGGCAACTTGGCAGGGGAAGACGGGATGGCTGCGGTGGGATGAGTAACCCATCTCCCCAGGGTGGGGTGGGGGGAATACCCCAGCTCCCAGGGGACCCCCTCGGGGGGTGGGCTTCGGGGCCAGCTCTGTGCCTCACCTGCCGGAAGATGAGGTCGAGCAGCAGCGGGTTGTTGATGCTGTCCTTGGGGTAGAAAACCTGCCAGGAGGGAGACCAGCGTGGCATCGCCAGCATGGCCCACCCTGCAGGGCTTTGGGCTCAGTGAAAAGCCCCCCCTTTATCCCCGTAGCACCATGACGCCAGCCTGTCCCCATGTCCCCATTTCGTGTGTGTGTGTGTGTGTGTGTGTCCCCTCCCCTCAACTTCCCCAAACCTCTTTGCGGATGTATATTTTCCAGGGCACGTTGTGGTAGCTGTAGAAGTCCTCATTGCAGCTCCGGTGCAGCTGGGTCTGGACCTGCTGCGCCTCGGATGGGAGCTCCCGTGAGACGAAAACTGCGAAGGGACGGAAAGCCCTGCACATCCCTGGAGGGGAGGGGGGGGCAGGAACCACCACCAGCCCTCTCTCCACCCGGGGGGAAACTGAGGCACGAGGGCCAGCTGTGGGGCAGGGAAGGGTGAGCAGTGCACAGCGGTTATCCCGGGAGGATGCTGCAGGGCTGAACCCGCACCTGGGGGGCATCAGGCATCACCCGGTGCCGGCGGGGAGGACGAGGTGCCCCCACTTCACCCCGACCCCCCCTTCCCAGTGCCGCGGCTCTGCCCTGCGATACCTGGGGGCCGGGTGGCCGCCGGCCGCCTCATCGATGATCGCAGCCGGTACCTGCTGCTGGTGACCGGCTTCACTGCGGCCACCGTCTCCTTGGGCCCCTGCGGGGGAAGAAAACGGGCTGCGGTCGAGGGCCACCAGCCTGTCACGGGGGGCACGGGGGTGGCTGCATCCCTACCACAGCCGCCGGCACCCGGGCTGCTGAGAGCTGCTCCTTCAGGATCTGCATGGCTTCCTCGTGGGGGTCCAGCTTCTTCCCAAAGAGTTTGCTGCGGAGACAGCACCCCACATTGTCCGCGCCCCGGCATCACCTGCATCCCCAGCATCACCTGCACCCCAGTACCACCTGCATCCCCAACATCATCAACATCCCCAACATCACCTGCACCCCCAACATCATCAACATCCCCAATATCACCTGCACCCCCAACATCATCAACATCCCCAACATCACCTGCACCCCCAACACCATCGACATCCCCAGCATCACCTGCATCCTGGCATCACCTGCACCCCAGTACCACCTGCATCCCCAACATCATCAACATCCCCAACATCACCTGCACCTCCAACATCATCGACATCCCCAGCATCACCTGCATCCTGGCATCACCTGTACCCCAGTATCACCTGCATCCCCAACATCACCTGCACCCCCAACATCATCAACATCCCCAGCATCACCTGCATCCTGGCATCACCCACACCCCAGTATCACCTGCATTCCCCACATCACCCACACCCCAGTATCACCTGCATCCCCCACATCACCTGCACCCCAGTATCAGGGCCAGGACACAGGCAGGAGAAGCCCGTGGCTCGGCTGGGGGCTGGGGGGGGGTACCTGGGGGGCTGGGAGCCGCGCGGGGCCGGCTGGCACTGCCGGATGATGTTGCGGATGTCGTGCGTGGGCCGCGGGAATTGCTCCGAGTTGAGCCGGGAATGCCGCACCAGCTCACCCGGCCATCGCTGGCCCACGGGTGCTGTGGGGCCAAGGATAGAGCTCAGGGTTGAGGCGGGGGTGGGCGCAGGCACCACCCTCACACCCAGGGCACAGCTGGGTGCTGTGACCCCCCATCACTGCCCCATTCCACCGGGACCCCTTACCAGATTTCTGCAAGTAGGGCCGGGGCTGGGGGGCACGGGCTGGCGTCCCCTCCGCTGCTCTGCCCTGCGAGGGACACCTCACCGTGAGCACCCACCACCCCCCGAGCTTCCCCCACAGCAGATACTGGGTAGGGCTCGACCCCTCCCAGTACCCCCCCAACCTTACCCCACTGACTGGGGGCCCAGGCGGCTGGTTGATATCTGCCCTGTGCTGTGGGGCTGGGGCTGGCTCCGCGCCTGCGATGGCAAAGGAGGAAAGCTCAGCCCACAGTGGGGCTGAGGGGTGTGGGGTGCAAGGACGTGTGTCCCCACACACACCGGGGATCAGTTGGGGAAACTGAGGCAGGGAGCTGGGTCGGGATACAGGAGCGCTCGGGGTGCTCACCCCTCGGCTGATGGGTCTCGGCAGGAACAGGGGGGCCACTCCGCTCGGCGTCACCGCCGCTGTCCCCCCCTCCTGTGCCACCTCCTCCCTTCATCCTCTGCGAGACGGCGGCTGGCTTCTCCAGCTCCTGGGGGGGGACAGGCATCAGGGGACGGAGGCCAAGCCACCTGCACCCCCCCAAAATGCTGGAATCCCTCTGCCTCGGGCGGGGGGACACCCCTCTCACCCCATTGCCGTAGGAGAGCACGGGGTCGAAGAGGCTGTCCAGGTACCGGTCCAGCCCCTTCTGGCTGCGCTGCTCCCCAAATTCCCCGTCTGCTGGGGGACAAGGAGGGATGAGCTGCTGGTGGTAGAGCCAGAGGGGCTGGGGGCGGAGGCGTCGGGGGGGAGATGATGCCCTACCATGGGGGTGGTATGCCTCCGTGGATGGCAGCGTGGGGGCTTTCACAGCTGGAGGAGGAGGCACTTCATCCAAATCCAAGTCGTGTCCCAGCACCCTGCAGCGAGGGAGGATGCACTTACGGTGAGCTCACTGGGTGCCAGATCCTCCCCCCTCCTCCAGGACCCCGACCCACACCTCTGCCAGCACCCATCCAGCCTGGTGCTGGTGTTTCCCCTCCAGCCCCACAGCGGGGGACCCATCCCTGCCCGGGTACCTACGCCCGGCTGTCCCTGCCGTGGCTCTCAGTCCCCTCCCATGCGACAAGGAAGCAGGACTTCTGTTTGGGGAAGCCCTGGAGCAGCTCGAGATCAGAGATGAGGTCGAGGACATAGTCATGGCCGGCCAGCTCGGCCCACTGGGCACCCGCCTTCATGGCCACGGACCAGCCACGCCAGCCATCCATCAGCCCCCTGCCAACAGCAGAACACTGGGGACGGGCACGGGCTGCCAGCAGTGCCCCAGCTCCATGGGGACACCCAGCCCGTGAGCTGAGCAGCCTGGATCCCAGAGCCTGAGGTCACCCGAAATGGCCCTGGGGTGATGTTGTGCCCTGTGTTCGGGGGGTGGCGAGCCGGCGGGTACCTGTGCTTCAGGACATCCCCTGCAAGATCCTCGCCCGTGCTCCAGGAGTGGACTTGGCAGGAGAACTGGTCGCCTGGAGAGGGATGGGCGGTGAGCGGGTCCCACCGGTTCCCCCCACCACCACCACCGCCCCGTGACAGCGGCGGGGTGCTCAAGCCGGGACCGACCGTCGCTGCCGCGGCGCCCCCAGCCCCGCGCCACCCCGCACCGTTGAAGCAGTGGAGGTCGAGCGCCATGCTGGCTTGCTGCCGGTTCGCCGTCCACTCCAGCAGCGAGGGCGGGTAAGCGCGGGCGGCCGCGGCGCCCAGCTGCGACCGTGCCATGGCGTGCATCAGCTTGCGCTGGCACACCGGCTTGTAGCCGGCAAAGGCGTAGTCGGAGACAAACCTGGGGGGAAAGGAGGGTGCTGCAGGAGGGACTTGGGTGGGCGTGGGTGCCAGGCAGGCCCAGGGGACCACGGAGGGATTAAGAGCATCCCTGGAGGGATCTGGGCAACGTCCTGGGCACGGGTGCCAGGCTGGCCAGAGGGATCCCGGGGGGACCTGAGTGTAATCCCTGGGCACGTGTGTCAGGCTGGACCTGGGGACCATGGAGGGACCTGAGAGCATCCCCAGCGGGACCTGGGTAACACCCCTGGGCAGATGTGCCAGGCTGGCCCAAGGGATCCTGGAGGGATCCGGTGGCACTTGGGCAGCATCCTCAGTCACACATGCCAGGCTGGCCCGGGGAGACCCAGCAGCCATTCCCGGGCACGAGTGCCGGGCTATCCCCGAGGGTCCCAGCCAACCCCAGCTGCTGTCCCCAGCCCTGGCTCACTTGAGCAGGTACTTGTCGAAGGCGGTGGAGGGGGGGAAGGCACTGAGGCAGGCAGCCAGCAGCAGCCAGCCCCGCTCCTCGTTGTTGACGTTGGTGTTACGCCAGACCTGGTTGGCGGCTTGTGCCAGGAGCTCGTCCCGCAGCCCCGGCACCGACAGCCCCTTCTGCACGATGTAGTTGCCGAAGAGGGTCTCCTGTGAGCCGCCCAGCCCTGGGTCCCCCATGAACCGCAGGATCTGCCGTGGGGACAGCGAGGTCCTCTCTCCAGCCCCGGGGCAGGGAGAGGGCAGGGGATCGGGGTGCCGGATCCCACGCTGTCCCACCTACCAGCCGGAAGAGGCTAAGCGCCTCGTGGCACAGCTCCTCGTCCAGCCGGGTGAGGGGGGTCACCAGTGGGGCTGTCAGCATCCCGAACGCTGGTTCCTGCGGTGACACCCGCACCCGTGGCTACTCGGGCCCCGGGGACAACCTCAGGCCACGAGGGACCGGCCCCACGGCGCTGAGCGTGGCGTTGATGCTGGATGGGGACTATGGGGCTGCGAGAGGGCCGGGGTGCAGGATGGGGCCGGCAGCCTCCCGGCAGCGGGGCAGGGACGGGCTCAGGCTGTGCTGGCAGCACCAGAGATGCCGGCATCTCAGCGAGGCTGAAAGCAGGATCTGACCCCGGTGCTGTCGTTCGGGATGCCGGGGACTGGGAAACACACGGCAAAAATGGGGGGCGAGGAGGAAGAGGATGGGGGGCAAAGCGACTGGGGGATGAGGCCGGGGTCCCGGGAGCAAAGCGACCTGGTCTCCCGCCCCAGCGTTTCCGGATCCGCCCCGCGTCGGGCGTCCAGGAGGGCTCGGCGGGTCTCTCTCCGATAACCTCAGCAGGGTCCCCCCGGCCTCTGGAGACGACAGGAACCCACGGGGAGGGAGGGAGGCGGCGGCCGGCTCCCTGCAGCACCGCAGCCGCCCCGGATCCGGCCCCTCTCGTACCCCGTGGCATCCCCGGGGCCGAAACCGGGGCAGAGCCGGGTGGGATGATGCGGGGAGCCGCCGGGCAGAGCCGCCACGGGGACCCTGAACCTAACCGCTCAGCCACGACCGGGGCGCCGAGGACTCCCCGAAAGCTGGCTGCCCATGGGGGCAGGCTCCCCGCCGCCGGGGCCGTGACGCCCACCTTACCTGGAAGTGGCCCCGCACGTACTTGACCATGGGGTAGTCGTTGATGTCGAGTGGGAGGGTGAGCTGGGAGTCGGGCTGAAGAGCTGGCGGTGGCACCAGGACCACGCAACCGGCGTTCACCTCCTGGGTGGCTACGGCACAGCGGGCAGCTACGGCACGGCCGTGGGGATGGGGACAAGGGGCTGGGAGCTGTGCCGGCGGCCGTGCAAAACCTGCTCACCTATGGCGGCCTCCAGCAGCCCCATCAGCTCGGCCGGGATCTCCAGGTGGGTGACATCCACCACCTCCCTCCTCGTCAGCTCCTGCCGGCACAGCCCAGGGATGCACCCACCCGCCACGCTGCTCCCAGCACCCGTGGGTGCCTCGGCTGGCAGCACAGGGGTAGGCGAGTGCGCAGGGGATGAGGGCACAGCAACACGGGGTGCACGTGCGTCACGCACGCGTGGTTTCCCCCCCTCCCCCCCCCCCAGTGCCGCACACTTGCACCCCGTTAACCTGCTTCATCCTCTCCTTCTCCTCCTCTGCCCGCCGGCGAGCGTCCTCCTTCCTCTGCAAGCAGAGCAGCCGCGCTGAGCCCCCCTCCGGGAAGGAGGGAGACCCAGAGGCAGTGGGACCCCCCCCTGGGGTGCCACTGCCCCCCCCTGGCATCACCAGGCTTTCACCCCAAAGGAGCACTGCCCCTACCCCATGGGGCACAGTGGGGCCTGGGGGGGCTCAAGGGTTGGAGGTGCCACTGTACCCTCTCCAGACCCACCACCGAGCACACAGCAGGGTGGGAGCGGGTGCCCAGGACGCGCCCCCCCCCCCCCGGGGATGTGCCAGCCCCCCTCCTCACCTTGAGGTACCGCCGGCGGTTCACGTAGATGTGCACCAGCGACCTGAACTTGATGAGCGTGCGCCTCATGCGCCGGTACCGCTGCCTGCGGGAGGGCACCCGTCACCCTCTGCCCCCCACCGGTGCCTACCCACCGCTCCCCCCCCCCCCCCCGCCTCTCCCGGGACCCCCCACCTGGCCAGGTAGCCCCGCGCCCGGGTTTGCAGGAGGACGATCTTTCGGCGGAGGGAGCGGAAGCGCCTCTTGATGAAGAAGGTGCGAGCATAGCGCTGGAGCGTGAGCGCGGCCAGGTGATGGGCACGGGACCGCTTGCTCTCCAGCGCCTGGTAGAGCTGCTCCTTCAGGAAGAGCTGGGAGGGGGGGGTGATGCCGTGAGCCCCCCACCTCGGCCACCCTCCCCCAGGGCATCACCAAGCCCCCTGCCCGGGACTGTACCTTGCTCACGCCGACATAGTACATGCTGGGGTTGACGGGGCAGAGGTTCCTCAGCATCTCCACGCAGTTGGCCCCGGTGGGAATGACGTTGGACCACATATCGACGAGGCAGCGGTACCTGGGCGAGCCCGTGACACCGTCACCACACGGGACCCCACCAGGACACCGGCACGGACCCTCCCCACGGTGCCGAGCACAGGCACCGGGGAAAGCAGCTTCTCCCAGTGCTGCGCACCAAAGCGGGGGGGCTCCCAGCTCCTGCCGTGGGGGGAGCCCTGGGCCAAACGCTGCCCCCCCCCCAAAACACCTACAAGCTCGGTGGTCTCCCCTCGCTGGGATGGTGGTCCTCGCCCCACAGCCCCCGGGTACCTGTCGATGAAGACGAGGAAGGGGATGCGGATGGGGAAGCCTTCCTTGCGGATGCGGATGGTCTCCAGGATCCCCGAGTACCGCAGCTGGCTGCTGACCACGTCGGCCTCGAAGAGCCCCGGCTCCTGGGGAGGAGATGGGGAGAAGACTCAGCAGCAGCACGGGCAGCCCCCTGCCCACCCTGCGCCCACCGCCCTCCCTGTGCCGGGGACTGGAGAGCCCCAGGCCGGCTCTCACCTTCTTGTTGTTGGGTTTGAGACAGCGCACGAAGAAAGGGTTGCACCTACGTTGGGGAGACCCCATTGGAGATGGGGGGACGGGACAAAGTCAGCCTGGCCACCTCGGGCTCGGGACAAAGTCACCCTGCCCACCCTGCCCGCCCTGACCTCTCCATCCTTTCCACCAGCTCCAGGAGCGACTGCTGGAACCGGGCAGCCACGGTGGGGGCCTTGTACCGCCGTGTCCTGGTGCTGCTCCTCCTGATCAGGCTCCTCTGCCGGGCCACCACCTGGGCATGGCCGAAGAAGAGGTTGGCCACCACCTTGGGGAGACGGGAAGGGTTATGGAGGAGGAAGGTGGCCGGGATGGTGCAGCTCGCCCAGCTCCTCTTCCCAGTTCAGCTACTGCCTTTTCGCCCAGCCCTGAGCGAGTCGCATCCCCTCTTTGTGGCTGGATTCCCCGGATGGGGATGGGAATGGGGATCAGGGATGAGGATGGGGAAGTGCAAGAGCAGCCCATGTGCCTGCTTGTGCCAATGCTTGAGGGGTCAAAGCCCAGAAGACCCCAGGGGAAGAGAGCACAGGGTGGAGCTGGAGGCATCCCCTGCTCCTGGTCCCCCTGGGCTTCGCCAGCCAGGGTGGCACACGCCTGGGGACATGAAAAGTGGTGTGTACAGAAGGGGGCTGTCTGTGTCCAGTGTCCCTCCCCAGCACCATAGAACCGGGGCCAGGCAGGGCCCTACCTTGGTCCTGCTGCTGATAAACAGGTCCAGCACATCCTGACGGACCTGGTCGTAGTTTTTATCCAAAAATTTGTGAACCTAGCGAAGAGCAAAACCTCATGGTGAGAAGCCTGGTGGCACGGCGAGGGGAGAGGCAAGGAGCTCCAGGGCAGGATGGGGGACCCCCAGCCAGGCCCTCTGGGCTGTACCTCACCCCACGGTGCAGGATCAACCCCATAAACCTCTTTAACTCTCCTTAAAACCCCAAGTGGGCACCATGCTGCCACGCACCTGGTAGGTCACCCTCCCCGCATAGTGCTTGATGGTGAACTCGGGCAGCGGCATCTTCGGCTTCGTGTACAGCGGGTTTGTCCCGTGGTGGTAGTGACACTTCTGGAGGAACGTGTGGTCAGTGGCCTGGGGACAGACGCAGGGGTGAGACGTGGCTCGGGTGGTTCAACAGTCCCGGGGATGTAGACACTGGAACTGGGGTGCCTGGACAACCAGTCAGACCCCGCTCTCAGCTCTGCCACCCAACAGCTGCACAGTCATGGGCATCTGCTGCTCTGTGCCTCAGTTTCCCCATCAGCAGAGAAGGTGCAACCACCCTTCTCCCTTTTATAGAGCAGCTGGGAGGGGGGGGTTGCAGTAATTCCTACAAAAACAAGTCCTCTGGGGGAAAACGCTCCACTAGCACCAACCTGGGACCTCTCGGGGCTTGTCCAGCCTGGAGAAACTCAAGAGAGTCTTCCAGGTTTTCCAGGACATCCCAGGAGCGGAGCAGCCCTGGGCCACGGTGTCACCCTGGGCACGGTGACCACCCGGTGCTGCCACCCTCACCGCCTGGGCACCGGGCAGCCCCTCACCTGGGGGAAGCAGCTCTGGTCATCGAGGATCCGGAGGATGCCGTAGGGCTTTTGGGAGATGAGGTCGATGCAGGGCTGGTTGTCGCTGAAGGGGATCTCCTTCCACTCGATCTGCTCCCGGATGTACTCCTCCTGTGGGGCAGGCGCCCGGTCAGCCCCACGCCCCCAGCCCCACGGCGATGCTTGGACACGGGGGGGGGGGGGCGGGGGGGGGGCAGAGCCCGGCACTTCTCGCCGGCTCACCTGCTCCTCCTGGAAGACGATCTTGTTGAAGAAGGATTGCAGGTACTCGTTGGCGTAGTTGATGCACAATTGCTCGAAGCTGTTGAAGTTGAGGTCCTGCAAGAAGGAAGGTGCGTGGAGCCTGAGACCCACCCCCCCACCCCCCCCCGCCCAATCCCAAGGCTGGCAGACGGGGGGGATGGAGCCGGGATGGATCCTGCTCACCTCGAAGCCGTAGATGTCGAGGATGGCGATGGAAAGGGCCTCCTGCCGCGGGTACACCAACTTGTTGATGCGGTCTGTGAGCCAGGCGAAGAGCAGGGAGTAGAGAGTCTTGGCAATGGCATCCCTGGGAAGGGGCGAGATGAGCGGAGTGTTGGGGGGGGGGGGGGGCCGGCACCCAGCCCAGCCCCACATCGTGCACGGGGCAGCCCCTGAGGCTGCGGTTTTAAACCACCCGAGAGCCTAATCCACGCAGGGGGGACCTGACCGTCCCCTTTCCCAGCCTGGCTTCTCACCTCCCGCCCCTGTCCCTGGGGGGGGGGGGGGGGGGGGGCCAGACACCTTCCACGCCCCCACAAAACACACACCCCCCCCCCCCACCACCTTCTCCCTACCTGGCATCCACGGCGCTTTCGACAGTCAGAGGGGTAAAAATCTTTTCTCGCTGCGTTTCCTGGTTGGGGCGCAAAAAAAAAAAAAAAAAAAAAAAACACAAAACCCCAATGTGATGGAGTTTTAGCAACACCAGCCGCGATCCCTTGGGATGCCCCCTCCCTGCCTGTGTCCCCCCCCCCCCCCCCATCCCACTGCACTCACCGTCACCTTGAAGGTGATGGCTTTCTGCAGGCCCTCGGGGGAGACCTGCAGCAGCTCAGCCACTGTCCGGATCTCCGCGGCGCTCACCACCATGGCGACCTCCTGGCAGTCGGTCTGCAGGACGCGGCGAGGCGGTGGGATGCGGTGATTCTCCCGCCACCCCACCTCCGTCCACCTCCCGAATCAGGCCCGAGGAGCGCGGCTTGGCTCCCCTTGGGGTTACCTCGTATTTCTCAAAGTAGACGTTGCCCAGGTGGAGGACGGAGGAGAGGATGCGGAAGATGCTGTTCTGCTCCTCCACGCTGAAGCTCAGCACCTCCATGGTGTTGAGGAGCCGGTGGAAATCCTCCGCGTCGTCCTTGCCGGGGATCTCGCAGTTCCCACCCTGCCACGGTCCCCTCGGTGCCATCAGTGGGTCTCGGGGGGGGGTGGGGGGGGGGTGGGACAGCATCCACACAACCCCCCAACACACACACACACCCCCTGAGCACCATCCACACACCGAATCCAGGAGGACACAGGAACCCACCGGCACCCCGAGCTTGGCCAGCCCCCCCCCAAAATCAGGCAGTGGGGTGGGGTGGGGGGGTGGGAGGGGGGGGCGTTGAGGAGGATTTACGCTACCTGGTTCAAGTAGTAGTAGGTCTCAGCGCCCTGCAGGAAGTACCGCTGCCGCTGCTGGGCAGGCAGCCCTGCCAGCATCTCGTAGAAGATGTGATAATTGCGTTCGGTCTTGGACTGGGGAGCAGAGGACCGAGCTGGGGTGGGGACGGCAGAGGGGGGGGGAAGCTTTGGGGAGGAGCGGGGCATGAGCCTGGGACCACCCCCCCACACCACCGCCCCCCCCGCCCCTTGCCACCCACCTGGAAGACCACACGGGACTTCTCCAGCAGGTACTGCGAGGTTATGGCACCGCAGATCAAACCGCTGCAGGGGCGAGAGCGGGCACCCGGCTGGCAACCTCGGTGTGGGCAAGGGCTGTGCCCCCACCCCCCCCCGGCCTTGGAGCCCCCAAGTGCTGCCCCCCCCAGCACTCAAGGGGTCAGTGCCCAGTCCCCAGGTGGCCCCCACTGGGATCTGCGAGCAGGGAGAGGAACCCACACCCCGCTCCTGAGCGAGGGATGGAGCTGTGGCACCTCGGGGTGTAATCACCCCCCTCACACACACACACACACCCCCCCTCCTCGTTGGGATCGGTGGGGCTGAACGCAGGTGGGGACGGGGATGGGGATGGGGAGCAGGCAGGGTGCCAGCCCAGGGCACAGCACCCCTACCCCAGGGACAGCAAACGCTGCCCGTCTTCAGGTGACATCGCTTTTTCCCCCACCAAAGTTTGTCCCCAAATTCATCCCCATGCGCGTCCCACCCCAGAGCCGAGGGGCAGCTCAGCAGTGGGGCTGGGGGCCGGGTTGGGCACCCTCGGGACAGGGGACACACACACACACACACACACACACACACACAGGGAAGGGGTGGGGACCGGCCACGCACGGGTGTTGCTCGGCATTACTTACTCCTCCAGAAAGATCTCCACAAATTTCCCAAACCTGCTGGAATTGTCGTTCCTCACAGTTTTGGCGTTGCCGAAGGATTCCAGCAAGGGGGTCGCCTCCAGGATCTGCCGCGGCGATGGGGAGAGCCGAGGGGGTCAGGCTGGATGCCCCAACACACCACGGGCTGTCCTCACGGTGGGGGTACCCCCCCCACACCCCTTGCCACCCTCCCTGCCACCTCCTGCGCCATACAGACACCCACGGGTGCCAAAATTTGAGGTGTGCACCTGCATCCAGGCGGGGGTGAAGATGCTGGAGGGCGCAAGGACCCCGTGCACGTGCACGCACCGAACTTCTGCTGTCCATCCCCACCGTGTCCCGTCCCACCCCACCCCCCCCGCAGTCGGGGTGACGTGGCAGAGATGCCACCACGACGCTCAGTCCCCTTGAACCGTCCCAGCCCATGTGTGTGTGTGTCCCCTCTGCCCCCACTTCCCCCCCAGTACCTCTATCTGTCGTGGTCCAGGTGGAAGCATGAGGACAAGGAGAGCACAGCGGAGCCGTGAGCAAGGGAGGTGGGGGAGAACACGGGGGGGGGGGAGGGGGGGAAGGGGGGACAAGGGGATGGGGGTGTCCCCGGGGCAGCACCCTACCTGCGGGGCATTGCTGCGTTTCTGGCTGACGGCTGCCAGGAAGCGCAGGATCAGTTTGGTGGCTTCTGTCTTCCCCGAGCCGCTCTCCCCACTGAAACGCCGAGCAGGGGGATCAGAGAGGGGGGTTACGCTCACCCCAAACCCACCCAGCACCCCAAACTCAGAGGCATCCACCAGCCCCAGAGCTGGGCCAGGCTGGTGATTAGGGGCAGTGGTGATTAGGGGCCATCCCGGGGGCGGGGGGGGGGGGGGGGGGGGGGCGGGCTGTGCGTGGGGACAGCCGTGTCCCACCTGATGACGATACACTGGTTGTGTTTGGCATCCAACACTTTGGAGTAGGCGACGTTCGCGATGGCAAAGAGGTGCCTGGCGGGGAGGGGGAAGCGGAGGTGGGGCGGGGGGGACACACACGGTGCCATGCTCCAGCACCCCGGCACAGGGACCCCCCCCCCCCCTCAAACCCACCGACACCCCCAGCATCCCGCCCCCCCCCCCCCCCCCTGCCATGGACACAGCCTCTCCAGCACCCTGCAACTGCTGGTTCAGGGTGGGTGGGGGGGAGGCTCTGGGACCACCCGGGGGGCTGCTTGTAGGACATTTTGGGGACACCCCGGGACTCACGGCGGGTTCTCGCCCAGGGCTCTGCCTTCGTACTGCAGCACCTGCTCCATCTCGTAGATGTTGTAGAGCCGGTACGGGTTCACCGACACCAGGATGCTGCCGATGTAGGTCTGCGGGAGAGCGAGGTTTGGGGCTGCGAGCTCGTGGGGAGCGATGACACACACATCCCCCCTCACCCCCAAACACAACCCCCACCCCCCGCCCAGGATATTTGGGGGACACTGCACGCCCCTGCGCTTACATAGATGAGCTGGCGCTCAAACCGTGTCCGGATGTTGCTCAGCACCGCGGCCTCCTGGAGGTCCCTGGCGCAGAGCAGAGGCTGTGTTGGGGGGTGGCAGGGGGACAGGAGGTGGCCGCTGTCCCCGAGTGTGTCCCCAGCATCCCCAGCCCCAGGAGGCTGCGGTGGACCCCGTGTCGGGACGGGATGGGGAGCAGCGGGGGCCGTGGGGGGGGGTTGCAGCCCCGTTGCCCCTCACGGTGCTGGGTGGTGAGGGGACAGGGACACTCACTCCAGCTGGGTCATGTCCTCCAGCCCGTCCTCCTTCTGCGGCTCCTGGTACCGCATGATGGGCAGGCTGCACAGCGACTGCATCTGCACGGAGCAACCCAGCCCAGCTCCGTCACGGCACCCTCCTCCAGCGTCCCACCTGGTCACCGCTACCACCCCAAAACCACCATCTGCAACCAGCAGGGACCCCGGGGCTCCAAAATGGGGGTGTGTGTGTCTCCCCCCCTCCCCCCCCCCAGCAAAAGCATCGCGTATCGAGGGAGAGCAGGAACGCTGGAAATGGGGACATGGGGCTGCCAAGGCATCCTTGGGGACCATCCCGGGAAAGGCTGCCGTGGTCCTGCTCGCCGCGGACAGGTGGGACCAAGCAGAAACGGCGGTGCCACCCTCACCGCAACACCCCGCAGTTCACCCGTACCCCCCACGGGAGCTGCAAGGGGTGGGTGAGAGACCCCCGGGTAGGGCGGCACCCCCGGAGGAGATGATGGGAGATGGGCTGCGGCGCTGGGGGGGGGGGGTGTGGGAAAAGGGGGTGCTGCTCCCCACAGCCACGCGCAGAGGTGACGTGGGGCGGGTTGTCACACCGGAGCCCGTGCTGGCGGCCGGCCAGGCGGCGGGCAGGAAAGCGGACACCGGCCGGGTCAACGTGCCACCCGCACCCGGCCCAGCCGGAGATCGGGTCTCAGCATTTCCATACGTGAGAATCAAGTGTCCCCGAGGGGGCTGTGCACGGCGGAGGGGGGGGGGGGGGGGGAGGGGGTGACACACACACACACACACTACACACACACACACCCCCAGGCGATAACCACCCCATTCCAGCCCGCTCCCCACGGCAGGACCCCCACCAGCACCCCCAGCCGCTTACCCCCCACCCTGGGTGCTGCAACCCCCCCAGCACCGGTGGTTTTGCGCCTCGGGGGAACCCGCAGCCACCTCGACGTGCCACCCCACCCCGAGTCCCTCCGGTTGCCGGCTCCCCCCGCCCCCCCCCAGCTCTGTCCCACCGCCGGGCTCCCCGCCGGCTTTACCTTGTTGCGCCAGGGCTGCTTGGTGCCCAGGTACCCGTCCGCCCAGGGGTGCCTGTCCCGCCAGCCGCCCGCCGGCGAGCGTTGGTTCAGGTATCGGGTGATGTCGGATCCCCGCTGGCTCGCCCACCGCCGGCTGCGCTGGGTGGGCTGCCGGGGAAAACCCTGCTCGGTCGTCCAGGCGTCGGGCATCTCCCGCACCCGCACGACGTGCTGCTTGGACCAGTGCTGCTTGTACATGCGGGACGCCCGTCGGAAGGAGCCCAACCTCTGCACCTGCGGCGTCACCACCGCGTAGCGTCCCGCGCCCTCCTCCCCGTCGCCCTCGACGGCTTCCGCTGGCCCCAGGCCGCGAACAGAGTGACGACGGAGGGAGGTCGGCGAGCCGGGGGCTCGCCCGCGGGGCGGGGGGAAAGGGGTGCGACGCTGCGGCGAGGGGCTCCGGTCGCCACGCGAGATGGAGGGGAGGTTGGGGCGCCCGGTCTCGGCCCAGCCCCGGCGTCCCGCCGGCGGGCTCGGTGATCTGCGGGTGCTCCCATCGCGCTGGGATGGATGCCGGGGCCAGGGCGGGGAGCGGGAGGAGGGACGGCGGGTGGGCGGTGAGGACGGGGGGGCTCCGGTGGGGTTCATGCTCCCCACAAGCAGCGACGCCAGGGACCGCACTGTCGAGCGCCCTGGAGAGGGGCTGCGGCTCCCCGCTTCGGCCAGGGGGGAGTGGGGGGCCATCCCGGCGAGGGGCTGCCCGATGCGCTGGATGAAGCTTTTGGGGGTGCTGGGAGCAGGGCTGGATGGGGGGGGCACCCCGGCGAGGCTCCGCCCAGCACCCTGCCAGGGGGGCAGCTCCTCATCCCAGGAGGGGCCGGGGGGGCCAAGGCGGCGGCTGCCAGGGCGGGGGGCGGGTGCCAGGAAGGGGGCCCTCTGCAGCGGCTTCACGGCTTTCGTGGGGGGCTCGGGAAGCCGGGGCCAGGCTTGGGGGAGCGGCAAGCCGGGGGGGCTGCTCCGCCGCGACGGCCGCGGCGACACGGGTCTCCCCGACCCCACCGCGGGCACCCCCAAACGCCTCCCCACCGGCCCCGGGGAATGGGGGGCAGCCGGCGGCAGGGCGGGGAGCTCAGGGCCGAAGCGTCGGAAGCTGGACCCAAGGGAGTGGGATCGGCGCGGCCCCTCGCCCCGCATGCTGCCGGGGTGCTGGCGGGCTGGCGGGGGCGGCGAGAGGGACCCCCCGGGGTTGGCGAAGGGGTTACGGAGCGACAGCCGCTGCCCCCAGGGCCCCACCGGCGGGGAAGGGTCCCGGCCCCCTGCGCCGGCGCCCTCCATCCCCCCCAGCCTGCGACCGGAACGTCTATAGGAAGGCTGGGGGGTGCGGGGGTTCCGAAATGCCCCCGCACCCCGCGGCGGGCGGGCGCTGGGCTGCGAGAGGGAACGCTGGAGGAACTGCCCCAGCGGGCTCCCGCACGCCCGCGCTGCCGAAACCCAGCGTCCCGGGGCTGCCGCCGGCGGCTCGTACTCGTCGTAGTCATCCTCGTCGTGGGTGGTGGGCAGGTGGGGGGACGGCAGGAGGGGGACATCCAGGCGGTCCTTACCAAAAATCTTGACCTGGGGCCGGGGGAAGAGCCTGAATTTCCTATTGAGGGAGAGCTTGGAGGAGAGCGTCTCCCGCATGCCTCGCAGCGAGGAGGCGTTGAGGATGGAGAAGGGGTACTCCCCCTCCTCCTCCTCCTCCTCTTCATCCCACTCCTCCGGGTCCTCACCCTCAGCAATCTCCTCCAGGCCCAGGGCATAGGGGTTACAGGAGGACTGGGCGTGTGACGCCCACCCCCCCTCGCTATACTGGATGCGATGCTCGGGGTACTCCCCCCCCGCGTACCCCCCGGCGAGGGGCTCCCCAAAGTCTTCGTAGGGGTCCCCCCCATAGCCGAAGGGCCCCGTCACCTCCTCGCTGTACTCCGGGTCACTGCCGTAAGGGTCGTAGAGGGCGAGGGCGGACCCGTCGCCGTACGGTCCCTCATCCTCCAGCTCCCCGTAGCCGTAGGGGGGTCCCGGCGGGTCACCCTCATCCCAAGCTCCCCCGTAGAAGCCGTACTCGTCCTCCGTCTCGTAGCCGGGATAATCAGCGTAGGGACTTGGCACCTCGTCCTCGAAGCCGTACGGCGCCGGGTAGGCTGGGTTTTGGATGTAGCCTTCCTCCTCCTCAGCGTAGCCATCCCAGGGGCCGTAGGCTCCGTCCTCCTCCTCGGTGTAGCCGCGCCGGGGGCCGTGGGCTCCGTCTTCCTTCTTGGCGTAGCCGTGGCGAGAGCCGTAGGCTCCGTCTTCCTTCTTGGCGTAGCCACGCCGGCGGCTGTAGGCTCCATCCTCCTCCTTGGCCCACCCGTAGCGCAGCACCGGCGGCTCCGCCGAGGAGCGCTGGGAGCGCCGCCGGGACGACGGGCGCCTCGCCATGCTGCCGTGCCTCTCCTGGCCGCGCCGCGCCGAGCCGCGGGACGACTGCCTGCTGCCGGTGGAGACCCGCTTCATGTTGGCCCGGTGCCTGAGGATCTCGTCTTCCGCAGGGAACGGCAGCTTCCTGGCACCGATACGGGAGAGCCAGGCCGGGTCGGGTGCCCGGCTACCCCCCACCAGCCTCCCGCGCCGGGAGAGCACCTTCCTGGCCAGCCAGCCCGTGGCGGCGGCCGCTTTGCTCAGCACTTGCGCCCGTGGCTTGAATTTCCTTTCCGGGCGCCGGCGGAAGAGGGACGCGCCGTCCTCGGCCGCCTGCCCGCCCCGCCGCAGCAGCAGGAAAGAGGGCTTCGCCGGCGGGGAGCTGCTGGCCTCCTCCTCCTTCCTCTTCTTGCCCACACGCTTGAAGCGAATCATCAGGTTGGAGGTGGACTTGAGCACCGCCCTGTTCTTCTTCTTCTTCCTCCTCTTGGTGCTGTGCTTCTGCAGCCCCCAGAAGAAGCGGGACGTGTTCTTGAACTGCCCCTTCTTGGGCCGACGCAACCCCAGTTTCTTGAAGCCCAGGAAGAGTTTGGAGGTGCTGCGGAGGTTCTGCTTCACCCGGGCCTTTGGCTCTGCCGCCGCTTCCTCCTCCTCGGCCGGGCCAGGCTCCTCAGATGTTTTGGGCTGGCCCTTGGCCTCCGCGCCCTTGGCTCCTTTCTTCTTCTTGGCGTTGTTGGCCGTCAGCCCCAGCCCCAGCTTGGAGGTGCCCTTCGGTTGGTTCTCGGCCGGCGCAGCATCACTCTCGCTGCCCTCATCCTCCGGCTCCGGCTGCCCCTTCTTCCCCCGGCCCGGCTTCTTTCCCACCACCCCCTTGAGCACCCCCTTCTTCTCCTTCTCCTCCTTCTCTTTCTCCTTCTCCTTCTCCTTTTCCTTCTTTTCTTTTTCTTTCTCCTTCCCTTTCCCCTTCCCCTTCCCCTTCTTGGGCTCCTCCGCCGCTGCCGCCTCCTCATCCTTCTCCTCCTCAACCTTCTCCTCCTTCTCCTCCTTCTCCTTCTCCTCCTCTGCCACCTCCGTCTCCTCGCCCTCCTCCTCCTTCAGCAGCTCCGTATCCGAATTCTCCTCCGTCTCGCTGGGCGCGTCCTTCTTGCCCTTCTTCCCTTTCCCCCCCTTCCCCTTGGCCTCCGCATCCTTTTTGGGCTCCCCTTTCTTGCCGGCCATCCCGGCGGTGGCGGGCGCTCATGCTCTGGCCCCGGCGGGGCCCTGGGAGACGATGCCCCGCGCCGGCACGAGGCAGCTCCTGGCCCACCGTCCGGTTCCCGACCCCGCAGACTACCCGGGGGGGTTATTTACCTGCGCCCGGTTTTGGCGAGGCACGTGCCCGTGCGCGGCTCCCTCGGGCGGCGGTGGCCCCCCGCTTGGCATGGCGCTGGGGCGGCGGGAGCTGCCTCCTGCCTCCGGCGGCACCCTGCGAGTTAGGCAGCGGGCGGCTGGGCTCCGGCTGTAACCCAACCGCCGGGGCTCGCGGCGGCATGAATAATGTAAGGGACGCGCTGCTCCGGCCCCAAGACTTTTCCGAAGGAGCAGGGAAGGGCTCTCATGGCAGGGAGCATCCCGGCGAGGGGGGACGACGGCACAGAGCACCGCCACCGCCCCAAAACCAGACCTCGCGCCCTCCCCCACATGTCAGGCCTCCCTGTGCTCTCCCCTTGGGGATCAGCCTCTTCCTCTGGCCGGCGCGGAGGAGGATGAAGCCCAGGGATTTATTTAACCCCGCAAAGCCAAACCGCGGCACCGAGAGAGAGGAGACAATTTTGCAGAGCCCAAGGCACGCGCCGCCGCGGCACCGGGAGCACGGCACGGGAGGAACCCCCCCACACACACCCCCGAGCAAACCCCACAGCCCCCCTGCCCCGGGGAAGCAGAGAGGAGCCAGGAGCCCCCGGGGGTACCCCCCACATACACCCCACGCACGTCGTGTGGGCGTGAAGGTGCCGGCGGGGTGCGTTTGCACACACCCGTGCCCAGGCGCAGGATGACCCCATCAAATGTTAATGCCGCGGCTGGATTCTTGAGGCTGCAGCTTCATGAAAGTTTAAGCAGCCGGCGAGTGGGAACTTGCTGCCCTGCGCGGATCGCCAGCGGGCAGGGGCAGCTCCCACTCCACCCCCCTCACAGCGAGTGTTTGGGGAGACCCGGGGGAGGAGCAGCGACAGCAGCATCCAGCTGTGCAGCAGCAACAGCAGCATCCAGCTGTGCAGCAGCTGGGGGGATCCCAAGAACCAGCAGCAATTGCTGGACCCGTTCAGTCCAAGACCAGGAGAACCCCGTGGTTGACACCCCACGGTCTTGTCTTCTCCCCAGCCCGGTCTCTCCTTGACACGTTTGCAGCAGCGGAGGCATCAGCCATGATCTGATGGCTTTGGCTTCCTCCCTGCATTAATTTCTGGGCCAGACACACCCCGGTGGGGTCTGCACAGAGGGAGGCTGTCCCGGAGCTGCAGGGAGAGCAGAGGGACGGAGCAGGAGGGGAGGCACCCCGCAGGTATCAGGAGAGGGTTTATGGGGTGCACACGAGCTTGGGATCAGCGGGAAAGAGCATCAGCAGAGCCCGAGGCGCCCGGTCCCTACCACCGCCCCGTCCCTCCTCCCAGCACGGGCGCACGGAGAGACACCTGGGCCCCACGCTGAGGCGAGAACAACCACGGCCACAGCCTCTCCCCCGGCGGCTGGCAGCAAGCAAGGGGGTACCCAGCTGGGGAGAAGCTGCTGCAGGTCCCCACCTCCATCCCACTGCCCCCCCGTAGTCCCTATTTCCATCCCCACCACCCTCGGCTGAGCCAGGCAGGGCAGAGGAGGGAGCAGCGGTACTCTCTGTGCCCCGCAGCGCTGGCACGGGTCCCCATGAAATTGTCACGGCCGTGCCCACGGTGCCTGCCTGTGATAAGGGCTCTCCAAGAGGAGACGCAGAGGAAGGGAGAGCAAAAGAGAGCAGGCAGCCTGGCCTCAGCCCAGCCGGCTCCATCCCACGCAGCAGCTGCCTTCCACTTTTCCAGCCCCTATACTGCACCCTGCCACACCTCCCCGGGTTATTCATCCACGGGCATAGCGATCACCTGCCATTAACACAGCAGAGCTGGGGAAGCATCACGCGTGCCCAGACGCGTGGGGACGGTGGGAGATGCTGTAGAGTGGAGGGGGAATCCATGGCCATGAACCCCGAACCGTGAGGCACCCACACTTGGAGGCTGTTTCCAGGGTTTGCATCCAGCAAAAGGACACGGGAGGGACCCTGGGTGCAAAGCCTGGCAGTGAGGGGTTCCTTGGGGTGCCAGTGGGGACCGGGGCTCTGGGAGAAGATGCCCAGGGCAGCCGCTGACCCTGTCACCCCTGAACGGCTCCAGCCACGTGGCTGAGCCAGGAAAAGTCACCTCACCCCCGGGACACGGCCCAGGGCAGCCCCTGTCCCACCGCCACAGCCCGGGGCCGTGCCACAGCTGGGTGCAGAAAGAGGAGGGAGAATTTGGCCACCGTGGTTCTGCTTCTCCCGCCCCAGCCCGGCACGACGCGCGGCTGCCCGGGACCGTACCTTTGGAGCACCGGCATCTGCGGGGCAGAGCTCCCGGGGCGGCAGCTCCACCGTCTCCAGGCAGGTCTGCGGTCACCAGCCGGCCCCGGGTCCGCTTACAACCTGTTTCCAGTTACAGCTGGAGCAGGGCTCCGTGCCACCACACCACACCACGCCGGCCCCGCCGCAGCCGGGCCCCGCGGAGCCAGCCCAGCCGAGGAGGCACCTCCCGGCTGTGACATCTCCCATCGCATCCCCTCCCCTGGCACCAGTTCGGCATCCTTGGGCCTCCACTTCCAAACGCCCCCGTGCAGCCCCAGCTCTCGCTGCTCCAGCCCACGAAGCTCCAGGGATGCCGGCAGCACGGCGAGAGGCTGGACCCTTCCAGCAACAGGCAACGTGACAGCAGCATGGCCCTCCAAGCCCCGAGGGGGTCTCTCCTTGCCCCTCCGAGCACATCACTCCCCTGAACTGGGTAATTTCCACCCCTTCCAGTTCCCCTCTCCAAACTGAGGATGGGGACCCAGCATCTCCCAGGTGACGCACCCCACGTCCTTGCCCGCTGGCTGCTGCCTGACACCGAGCTGCCCACGAGGGAGGTGTTATGGGGGGAAGAGACACCGGAGCAGCTGCTGGAAGCAAAGACCAGTTGGGCATGATCCATCCTGGGCTTAGTGCTGGCAGGCGCCCAGGTACGCTGGCTGGTGGCCTTGGAGCCAGGCCACAGCCCTGTGCTATCGCCTCGGCCCCGGAGCTGAGCCCAGGGGTCCCGCCGAGCTCAGCTGTGGAGCCAGGCAGCTTTGCTGGGGTAAAACAGCCCCAAAGCGAAAGGAATTTGGGGAAGGAGCTGTAGGAGATGTGGGGCAGTGGCTCCTGGCGAAGGAGGGGGGGGGGTTAGGGGGGGAAGCTCTGCTCTGGAGGGCAGCTGGACTGTGGGGAAGGTGAGATAAGAGAGAATAAAAGCAGTGAGCGGACAGGCGGGGACAACCAGAGACGAGACGACACCGTACACCCCGATGCGGAGGAGCTGAGCCCCACACCACAGCATTTGCATAAGGACCAACAAGATCCCTCCCTGACCCTTCCCACTGTGGCCTCCACCAGCCCAAGGGACATGCCACCCGGCCGGGGGACTCCCAGCCACTCACCTGGGGTAGCCTAGCTTGCCCACATGGCACCGGGCTGGCTCGGTGCTGCCCGAAACCCCCCCAGCTCCTGGCCTCCCTCCTCGCCGGGGCCCGTCACTCCCCCGGCAGCTGCAGGACCATATTTGCTGCACGGCAGCTGCAGGCTGCTGCTATCCAATGCATATTTGATGACTGCTATTATTCTCATCTCCACTCACGAGCGGAGGGAAGGGAGCTAATCTTCCCTCCGCAGAGCTGGGGAGGGAGCAGCTGGAGGGGCAGCCAGCTCCGGTCCCCCTCCCCTCGTCTTGTGGTCCCCGTCCCTTCCTCCCCCGGCCACACAGCCGGACAGCCCCACAGCCCCTTTTCCTCCTGGGATGTAGATCTGTGTCACCAACCCCAGGCGTGAACAGCCTTGGACTCATTCCTGCCCCCAAACCCACGCGAGTTTGGGAAAAATCACAGGGATGTGGGGGTGAACGCACAGACAAACCCCCCCTCCCGCCCCTCTCCAAAATAGCACAGGGACCAACCAGCTCCAGAGGCCGGAGACGGAGCAGAGATTTGGACACCCATCAACCCAACCCCACCGCACCGCCCTCCCCTCCTCGGGATGAGCGGGGCATTTCCACCTGCCCTCCCCAAAACATCCGCCATCCTGCAGGCAAAGAACCTCCCCAAAGCTCCATCCTCCCTTCCTCCAGCACCAGGTTCCTGCATCACACCAAACCGGGGACCGTTTT